ATGACACGGGTGCACTTACCTACATGCAGGCAATACACGCATACACATAAAATAAAAATAATAAATAAAAATTTTTTTTAAATATTTTGAGCCAGCTCCTTTATACACTACCTCATGCTGCTCCATCTAGGTCAGCCCCATAGCAGTCCACAGGCAGTCGGCTCCAGGTTGTGAGCACCAGAAAGCCAATGGGTCAGTACTCAGCAGGGAGACTCCTGGATGCCTGAATGTTCCAGATGCACATTTACTTGTTTTAACTGGGTAAGCTAATGTGTGACTGACCTGAACATAATTTACTGATACATGGTGTACCTTTAACTTTGATGACTATGTTTCTCTTTCAGCCCAAAATGGAATTAATCCTGACTGGGAGAAGAAAGTTATTGAATACTTCAAGGAAAAGCTGAAAGAAAATAATGCTCCTAAATGGGTAAGCTTACTGCTGTTTCAGGGGAGAGGGTGGGGCAGACTACAGTTTCTTTCAGTGGAGTAGGAACCATCATGTAATTTAAAAATATATGTCAATGTATATATTCTAAAATAAGCACAAGTAATTAAATACTTCTGTGTTGTGCCTCTAGGTGGCAGTAACTGACTGTTCCGTCCTAGGACAAACTGGTTTTGAGCATGGTTGTTGACCTAGTTTTGTTCCCCTGCTAAAAGAATTGGCCTGTGTGTGTTTAAGAAGAGCTCATTGAAGTAAATGCCTCTCTGTCCGTTGAAAAGGGTTCATGAGTCTGGTGTGGTGGTTCATGCCTGAGCACTTAACGAGACAGGAGGATCACCAAAGTTCAAGGCCAGCTATATAGTGAATTTTAGGCCATTCCGTGCTACAGAGTGAGACCTTGCTGCCCCTCCCTCCCAAAAAAGCTAAACTAAAGGTGGGCAGGGAGTTATGCATATGCTATGCATGCATTTGGAAGGAAAAGCAGCCGCCTGTGTTATGTGTATGTTACCACACAAACTTGGAAGGATTCAGACAGAAGTTTTGTTCAGCAGTTGAGTTGTGTTAAATTGACCATTGAGAGCACTCAGTTTCCCAAGAGGGTGGGTTTTAAGTATAAGCGTGCATTTAATGTTTTACAAACAGAATATTTTGTTAACTTATTTGTTTGTTTTCTTTGAAGGTGCCATCATTGAATGAAGTTCCCCTCCATTATTTGAAACCTAACAGTTTTGTCAAATTTCGTTGCATGATTCAGGATATGTTTGACCCTGAGTTTTACATGGGAGTGTATGAAACAGTTAACCAAAACACAAAAGCACGTGTATGTATTTGGGAGGTAGGGGTTGAAATTTTCTATCATCACATGTGGTATTATTCATATTTCTATAACCCTGTTGTCATTTGTTTGGGGTCATAGGTTCTTCATTTTGGAAAGTATAGAGATGTGGCAGAGTGTGGGGTATGTATCTTTTAAGATATGCAACTTTTAGTGTGATTTTTTCCCCCTCTCCCTAAACAATTTATTTTTCTTTGTTGTCTTTAATTTACTTGTCATATGTATAAATAAGTTTTAAAAAATCATGTGAAAATGTTTTGTCTTTGAGTGTTTTTCTGATGTTGGGGGGGTGGTTGGTTGTTTTTGTTTTGTTTTTGAGACAGGGTCTCACCATGTACTACTGGCTGACCTGGAACTCACTATGTAGAACAGGTGGATCTTGAATGACATGGTTTTCTGATTTGTTTTTTTTCTTGCAAAGTAGAATATTATAAGTGACAAAATTCTTTTCTCAATATCTGTATAGTTGATGAAACCTTACGATATTCTTTTTAGATGAAAGTGAAAGATTAACTTAGACTTTAATTGAGTAGGTTACCACACCCTCTTCTGACCTCTATGGATACTGCATGCACGGTACACTTACATACATGTAGGCAAAGCATTTGTACATAAAATGAAAGCAGAATACATTGTTTAAAAAAAAAAAAAGTCTCTCCCATTGGGGCTGGAGAGGTGGCTGAGTTAAAAGCACATACTGCTCTTACAGAGAATCCAGGTTCAGTTCCCAGCACCTAACATCAAGAGGCTCACAGCCACCTGTGACTCTAGCTCCAGGGAATCCCATACTTCTAGCCTCCCTGGACACGTGCACTCATGTACGTGTACCCACACAAAGACACATAATTAGAAATCAAATAGAGGGGCTGGAAACATGTCTTAGCAGTTATGAGCAGTTACTGCTCCTCTAGAGGACCTGAGTTCAACAGTTCCTAGCACCCATGTTGTGTGCTTACAGCCAACTGTAAGGTACATGTCCTCCATGGGCACCTGCACACGTGGAATATATATGCACACCAAGACACACACATACACATCAGTAAAAATAAATCTTTGAAAAAAATAAAATCTCTAAAAAAAAATTTTGCCATTGGCTCTTTGGTCTCTGTTGAAACACAGACCCTGATTGTCAGCTATAGGAAAAACTAGGTGGGCTTGACCGGGCAGGTCAGTAGGAAGGTGAGGCTTCTGCAGAGCTCCTTGTTTTAAGCCTTGCTCTCTGCTTTGTGGATCCAAATCCTGGTTTCATTTGCTTATTTGGGGCTTTTTACTTACCCAGATCTTGAGAGTTGGTCAATTAAACCCTAATTAATTCCCTGGCTATGAATACACATGAGTTTTTCCTGGTTGAATAAAGTTCTAGATTAGTGGGCTGAAGGACCAGAACACATAGTGAGCTTTCAGGCCTTGCAGTATCTCTGTTTTCTTTTAGTGTTTCTTTAGGACAAATATTGTGTCAAGTTAATGGATTGACTATCGATGTGTTGGTAAGGAGTCCTAAAGCATTCACAGACTCCTTCACCTGCAGGCACTCTCCACACTCCAGTATGCAGTAGTATTCTGTACCTCAGCATTCTAGGCATCTGGAAGTAGCTGCATGTGATCATGCTGCAGGCTCAGAGGGGGTATTAGGTCTTAAACGAGAGTCCCATTCCAGGGAAAGGACCTTCGCACTGGACAGGAAAATGCTGAACAACGAAAAGAAACAGGTTAAGAACTGAGAATGTAGCTGAGTAATCGACAGAGTGCACTGTGTAAGCTGGTGGCAGTGAATGCATGATCTCAGCACTTGGGAGGGATCACAAGTTCAGGGCCATCCTCAGCTATATAGTGAGTTTGAGGCCGGCCTGGGATACATGAGACCCTGTTTTAAAAAGTTTGTCATTTGAATTTGAGCAAAATGCATGATGTCCAAATGTGAAATTTTCATGGTAAAAATCCATCATTTTATGTACAACTTTTTTATATCTAGTTCATATTTGTAATCTCCGGATTCAAGCATGCTGTCACAAAGGTCTGTTCTAGGACTTTTTGTTTGTTTTTTGTTTTTGCAGAGCAAATATAGATTTGTGAGGAAAGAGCTCTCCAAAGTAAAAGGGTTCTAAGAGAAGAGTACGCCACTGTTTTTAAAAGATCTTATTTTAATTTTATGTGTATGAGTGTTTTGCCTGCATATATGTAAATGCATCATGTGTGTGTGTCTGGTGCCCAACGAAGCCAAACAAGGGTTTTGGATACCCTGGAACTGGAGTTGAGGATGGTTGTTAGTCACCATGTGAGTACTGAGAACCTAACCCTAGTCCTCTACAAGAACAGCAAGGGTTCTTAACCGCTGAACTGTCTTTCTAGCCCTCCTCTTAGGCCTTTATAAGTAAAGATTTGAGGTACAGAGTGTATCTTTGGGGGAGGGGTCTTTTTGAAACAGGGTCTCCCTGTAGCCCCAGCTGGCCTGGAATTCAGTATGTCGAGCAGGCTGGCCTTGATCTCACAGAGATCCATCCACCTGCCTCTCAATTTGTAGAATTAAAGGCGTATGCCACCACACCCAGTTAGAGAGGGTACACCTTCTTGAGGGACTACAGTCTGAATTTTAAATATATTTCTGAGCTAACTGTAATGAGTATTTCATTAAATTTGATAACACTGGCTGAATTAGTAGTTCTAAGAAGAGACAGATAATCAGGTACTTTGTTATTTGGAGGGCCAGTGCACTGGGGATCGAACCCAGTGCCTCATACATGCTAAGCAAGTTGTCTTATCACCAAGCTAGACCCCCCCAGCCCTTGCTTTGTCTTTAGGAGGATTTAATGGTGTAACCCAGGACATTACATATTATGAATTTGAGGCATTGTGTTTTGATCATTGTGTTTGAAATGATTTCATCAGTTTTGTTTTTTAAAATGGTAGTTTGAGGGTGGCAGGTATAAGTAGATAAGAGTGCTGCTCTACCAAACCTGATGGCCTGAGTATAGTCCCCAGAACCCACATAGTGAAAGGAGAGAACAGACTCCCACAGATTGTGCTCTGACCTCCACTTGCACACCATGCCATGCATATATTCCCCACCCCCAATAAATGATAAAAATGGTACTTTGAAAGCTGGATGTAGTGACTCACTCCTATAATCCTAGCATTTAAGAAGCTGAGGCAGGAGAATTGCTATAAGTTAGAGGCCAACATGTGCTACAGAGTAACACCCTGCCTCAAAAACAAAACAAAAATGGTGAGGTTTGGAAACAGTATGTAGTCACACATGCCTTTACAGTGCCTCCCAGTACTTGGGAGCCTGAGGGTGGTAGATTACAAGTCAGCCTCAACTGTGTGTGGAGGGAGAGAGGGAGAGAGGGAGGGAGGGAGGGAGGGCATTTTGAAATTAGGTACTTTGCTAATCACATTGACTTGAGGTGACACATTTACTATGATTTTATAATGTAAAAATGTAGTCGATATTTTTAAATTTTACTTAACAAAATTTTAAAAATACTTTTCTGTATATCACAGCCTCAGCAAGAACTTGATTTAAACTCTCCACGATCTACCACTTTGGAAAGACAAACGTTCTACTGTGTTCCAGTGCCTGGGGAGTCTTCGTGGGTCAAAGAAATATCCTTTTATCTATATTTCATTGTCTGTGGAATGCTTTCAGTGTGTTTATTGAGAAACACGTAAATTATGATACATACCTATAGTGAAATACTGTTGGAAGGATTGAGGTAGATTTATAGGTACTGAAATGTTATCTTCATAATTAAGATTTATTTTATTTATGTATCCAAATGCGGGTGCCAGTGGAGACCTTGAAACTTGTCAGGCTGTTACAGGCTGTTGTGAGCAGCCCAAGCAGGTGCTGAGAACCAAGTGTTCTGATTTTAAAGGAGGGTGCACTTCAGTGGTTTTGGTAAAAATGTACACAGTACAGAGCAGATACCCCAGCCTAAATGAAGAATTTCTGCCTGCTGGTTCCCGTGTTCCTTTCCTGTCACTGCTTCCTGCCCCTTCAGCAATGTCCTGACGGTTTTCACCATGCATTTGTTTGAATTGTTCTCCGGTGTCAGATAAGTAGATTCATACCGTCTGTAATCTTCTCAGGTTTTTTTTGTTGTCTGAAGCCATTCATTTAACATAATACTTTTGAACTACGTCAGTAGTTCATTCTTTTTGTTGTTGTTGTTCTTTCTCAGACAGGGTCTCCCTGTAGCCCCAGCTGTCCTGGAACTCACTATGTAGACCAGGTTGGCCTTGAACACACAGAAATCCACCTGCCTCTGCCTCCCGAATGCTGGGATTAAAGGCATGCACCGCCACGCCATGCCTGGCGTTCGCCTGGCGTTCATTCATTTTTATTGCTGAATGATTATCCATACAGTCTCCACTCTCTGTTAGATAAGCTTTGAGATTATTACCAGTTTGGGGCCTGGCATTTTCTTTGTGAAACTTTAATTGACAGTTCAGTTTTTGACAGATATTTTGTGTCCGTTGTTGTGTCTTTGCTTTGTTTGTGTCTGTGTTCTGAGGTCGGGTCTCATGTAGCTCAGGTTGGCCTGGAGCTCCCGATCACCCTCCCTCCATTTCTAAGTGCTAGAGGCATACACCATCAAACCCACCAGATTTACTGTCTTTTCGTAAAAGCTTCTCTTATATTTCCTTGTTTTCTTCCTCATGTGTGGGCTCTCTGACATTGGTTCCTTTTCAGTGATGTTGGTTTTTCTTTCCCACCTTGGTCACAGTTGCTAGGAATGTGACAGATACCCACTCTGCTTTCTGCTTCCATTTGTTCCTACCCTTTTTTTCCTCTTCCTTTTGGGTTTGCCTTGTCTGTCTTTTGCCTTTTAGGAGCTGGGGATTGGCCTGGGCCCTTTGTGTGCTAGGTAGACACACATCTTCAACCCCTAGTTTGGTTTCTCTAGCATCTGGAATCATTGATTTCAGATTTTTGGTATTGCAGTTAGAGCAGCAAATCCCTGTCTTAAGCACTGCTTCAGTTTCATCCTACAGATTTGATTTGTTAGGTTTTTACTTTCTTCAAATTGTTCTCTAATTTCCCTTGTGAGTTCTTTGATCTTTTCAATAGTCAAGTTCTATGTATCTCCGTCCCTTTGTGTTATTCACGTGTATTTCATTTGCACATAAATTAGCCTATACTGCATTATTTGTCGAGGTGGGTATAGAAAGCCCTTGTTCCACAAGACATGGTACCTGTCAGCAGGACGTGCTGTGTCTGGGCCTTCAGTACCTGGGGTGCTGAGCCAGGCCCATTGCTAGTACTGGGAGCCTCCATGTAGCTCTTGGCCAACCAGCAGCTGTTCTCTGCTAGGTGGCAGGGAATGCGACTCCTAACATGGGAAATCACCAGCTTGGAACCTGGTCAGAGATAAATGTAGCCTGCACATTTTTGGGTCTTCTGCCTACCACTGCTTCTTCTGCAGTACTTTTTTGCTAATTCCTGTTAATTCCGCAGTCCTGAGCTGGAGCAAGTCCTCTCTGATTCTTTGCTATCATTTGGAAGGGGCCTTCTGCTGCTGGAAGGAGGCAGGGTTTCCCTGGAGTGTCTCCTCATGGAAGGACTGTAATTTTATCCTCCCTGTTGTCCAGTGCTGTAAGCAGTTGTTTCACGTGTGTTTATTGTTTTTTATGGTGGTTTTCAAGAGTAGGGGACACAGAATACTGTCGTGACCAAAAGTAGAAGTCTAGCTTCCTTTTAAAAATACTTTGTTTAGGGGACTAGAGAGATGGCTCAGCAGTAGTGACTGCTCTTTGAGAGGACCTGTGTTCAGTTCCCAACACTCACATGGTGACTAACAACTGTCTGTAACTCCAGATCTAGGGTCAGAAGCCCTCTTCTGACCTCCAGGGGCATTGTATGACATGGGTGCACTTACATATATGCAGGGAATACATTCATACACATAAAATAAAAATAATAAATAACAAAAATTTTTAAAAACCTTTGTTTTAAAAACAGGCATGGTGGCACATGCCTTTAATCCTAGCACTAGAGAGGCAGAGGCAGGAAGATCTCTGAGATCAAGGCCAGGTGGGGCTACAGGGAGACCTTGTCTTAAAGAAACAAACAAAAAACTTTAACTGAGTTGTCGAGTTGGTCTTTTATAATGATATAATTAACAATTTAGGATATTTTCCAATTCAAGGTAGTTTTTTTTCTTAACCTTTTATTTAACGCCTATGTCAATGCAAACCAAGCTCGAGTCAGTCCTTCAACTTCCTACACCCCCAGTCGGCACAAGAGGAGTTACGAAGATGATGAAGATATGGACCTACAGCCCAATAAGCAGAAAGACCAGCATGCAGGTGCCAGACAGTCAGATAGTGTGTGCCCTTGGACTCCTGCTGGTACCTCCCAGCAGACTTGTGTTCAGAGTTAGCTAACACTGTTTTAGATCTAGGAGCTGGTGATACAGTAACCTCATTTCACATTGATCATAACTGTAGATGTTTTGGGGTCTGGGGTATATAGTTCCACAGTAGAGTGCTTGCCTAGCGGGCTTGAGGCTCTGGATTCCCCAGCACTGGGAAACAAAACAAAAGAATTAGAGGTACTTTTGAAAGTTTTCGTAGTAAGTGCTCTTTAGAAAAGTATGTTCTATTACTGAGCAGTTAATTACTAGTTGTTTGATTTTAGTCTCAAGTGCTTGACTGGAAAAAGATCTTTTCTATCTTCATTTTCATTTTTATCCCAACTCTTAAACAATAGGAAGTGAAAGTTTCTAAGGGCATAAGAATTTCTGTCACTGCATATTAATTTCAATATTGGGTTTTATGAACAGTGACTTCCTTTATATGGCAGGTAGATAAGTTTGTCTTTTATTTCTTTTTTGTGTGTTGGTCACATCCCTTCAGTATCTTTAATTCGAGGGGAAATTAGGAAGAAGAGAGAAAACCAATAAACCAGCCAGTTTCTGTCTTCAAGACAGGGTTGAGGGAGCACATTGAACTGTCAAGGATAAACATTTACAAATGAGTTTCGTCTATATATTGTGTGTCGGCATTTGTATATTATGTATTGTAGATTCACATTACTGAATTGTTTAATGCTGAAGCATATTTTAATGTTTAAAATGTTTAATTTTTATACTTAATGTACACAGTTATTTTTAATCCTCCAAGTTCATTCAGATTAATAATGTATTTTGACAAGTGACACACTGAACCCAGAGACTGTGGTGATTTTCTTGCAGAGGTCTTCAGCAGTCTATGCTGCTTTGTATTTCTTGCCTTTTTTGCTTGAGCATCATAAACCATAAGGTTCTTTATACCTTTATGAAAGTTCAACTTGTTGATTTCAGACTATATATTTTTTTTAACTTATTTTGAGATTAGCATAGAGTTATATACTATTGTAAGAAATTACAGGGGCTGGAGAGATGGCTCAGTGGTTGAGAACACCGACTGTTCTTGCAGAAGACCTGGGTTCGAATCCCAGCACCCACATGACACCTAACAACTGTCCGTAACTCCAGTTCCAGGGGCTCCAACAGCCTGTTCTGTCGTCCTCAGGCATTGCACGACACGGGTGCACTTACCTACATACAGGCAAATACATGCATACATATAAAAATAATAAAATTTTTTTTTAATTTTACAGAGAGTTTATAACTGTAATAGTGATACTTGCATAATTGTAATATTAATAGAATAATCTTTTTGTTGTTCTGAGGTGAAGAAGATTTAACCCAGGGCTTAATACATTGCTAGGCAAGAGCTGCATCACTGAGCTACAGAACAACCCGTCAACACTTTAACAACCAGCAAATGGTGTTGAGGCGATCCATCAGCTTTACTCAGAGTTCACTATTTTATATGCACACTTATTTGTGGTGCTTAAGTTCTATTTTATCATGTATAGTTATATGTGTGTGTAATTATTTTATTTTTATGTGTGTGAGTGTATTGCCTCATATATGTAAGTGCACCAGTGTCATGCAGTGCTCACAGAGATCAGAAGAGGATGTTGGATTCCCCTGGAACAGGAGTTAAGGACAGTTGTTAGCTGCCAAGTGGACACTGGGAATTGACCGTGGGTCCTATGCAAGAGCAACCAGTGCTGTCCCATCTCTCCAGCTCCTATTACGTATGGTTTCATGCAACTACTACAGCAGTAAAGATACAGCACAGTTCCTTACCGAGACCTCAGTCTACCGTTTGCTGATTATAACCTGCCTGCCCACTGGGCCCCAAGCCCTGGCAGCCATTCCTCCTCTATTACCCACCCCTCTGTCACGAGAGTCTTGGATAAATGGAATCATCCATTATAGAAACTTTGGGGCTTGGCTTTTCTCCTGTTCAGTGTAATTTATCTCAATCCATCTGAGTTGTTGCATCTGTCAAAAAATTTTTTTCATTTCCGAGTAATATTCCATGATATGGCAAGCTACATTTTTATTCTAATTAGTTATCAACGTCAGACTGTACCTACTCTGTACATAGCCACTCTTTTTATGTGTACATCCCAGTAATGAATCTAATTTTATTTTTTATTTTTTGGTCTTTTTTGAGACAGGGTTTCCCTGTAGCCCCACAGGCCTAGAACTCTGTATGTAAACCAGGCTGGCCTTGAACTCACAAAGATCTACCTGCCTCTGCCTCCGGAGTGCTGGGATTAAAGGTGTGTGCCACCACGCCCGGCTGATTTTTTTTTTTTTTTTTTTTTTTTAAAGGGTCTCCCTGTACCCCTGACTGGCCTGGAACTCTCCCTGTAGACCAGGCTTGCCCCCATCACACAGAGATCTCCCTCTGCCTCCTGAATGCTGGGATCAAAGATGTGAGCTGCCACACACTTTTTTTTTTAACTTTTTTATTTTTGTGTGTATGAATGTTTTGCCTGCATATAACACCCCCCTCCCAAGTGCGCAGTCCCCTGGGAGGCCAGGAGAAGGAGTCAGACTGCCTGGAACTGGAGTTAAGAATGGTTATTATCTGCCATGTGGGTGCTGGGAACCGAACCTGGGTCCCCTGCCAGAGCAGCCAGTGCTCTTCAGTAAGCCATCTCTCCAGCCCTAACATGCAATCATTTTTATTTTTACATTTATTTATTGTATGTGTGTGGGTACATGCATGCCACAGCATATGCGTGGAGGACAGAAGATAACTTGGGGGAGTTGGTTCCCTCCTTTCAGGATGTGGGTTCTGGGGAGTAAACTCTGGTCATCAGGCTTGGTGGCAAGTACTTGCACCTACTGAGCCATCTCCCAGCCTTTAGCCTGTTGTTGGTATATAGTGAATACCAATATATATTTGGTGAATGAATGTATTGCTGCGTGACTTTATTCCTGCTTAAAAATAGGAAAAAAGTACATTCTCCCAGGGTGTTCTAATGTTGATGGTGTATCTGTTTTTTAGGTTACAGATGTCCGTGTGACTATATTGAAACAAAGGTTTGGGGGGTTTTTTTGGTTTTTTTTTTTGGTTTTTGTCTTTGAAGCAGGATCTCCCTGTAGCCCCAGCTGTCCTGGAACTCACTATGTAGACCAGGCTGGCCTTGAACTCACAGAGATCCACCTGCCTCTGCCTCCCAAGTGCTGGAACTACAGGCGTGCGCCACCACACCCAGCTGAAACTAAGTTTTAAAAGTACTTAATTTGGATGTGGTGGCTCACACACTCAGGAAGCTAAGACGGGAGAATCACCTGCAGTTTGAGGCCAGCCTGAGCTACGGGATGAGACCCTGTCTCAAAAGCAAAGCACAATACTTAGATTTGATGGAGTAATTTTTTTGTTCCTTTGGGTTTTCTGGCAGGGCTCAGACAAAAGGCATTGTCTTTTTGAGACAGGGTTTCCCTGTAGTGGTACTGTCCTGGAACTCACTATATAGACCAGGCTGGCCTCAATCTCAGAGATTCACCTGCTTCTGCCTCCTGAATGCTGGGATTAAGGCTTGCACCACCATGCCCAGCATTGATATTTTGTACAAGAAAGGAATTTTTAGATGCATATTTCTTTGGCATAGGTCAGACACAGATGCTTGTTGGTATGTTATTAAAACTGGAATAACAATCTTTCAAATATGATTTATAATGTCATAATGTCAAACTTGAGAAGTGCTAGCTTTTGGAATGTTCTTTTCTTTCCACCTTAGAAGTGACTAAGTACCATGCTCTTTGATTCTAGGGAGCGTCGGTGGTCTTCAGTGGTGCGGAGAGCCTAAACGTTTAGAAACCGAAGCTTCCACTGGGCAGCAGCTGAACTCCTTAAACGTCTCTTCCCCATTCGATCTGAACTTCCCACTGCCAGGAGAGAAGGGCCCTGCCTGCCTCGTGAAGGTGGTGAAACCTTTCCTAGCTTGATAGCCGCAGATGTTACTGTCTCAGAAATTGAAGCGGGAGGGGCATTAAAAAGACCTTAGCATGTCTCTTTATTTTCCTTTGCTGCTATAAAAAATCATTCCATATTTATACTTCAGCAATAAAAATGTGTTGTATTGTAGGCTTGATGTGTTGAATTGTAGGCTTTAATTGAAAGTCTGACATGGGTACTGGAGCAAAACCAAGGTGTCTGGAGGCTGTGCTCCCTTCTGGTGGCTCTAGAGGAGAATGGTGGAGAGGGTGGGGTCTGGTTTGTTTTTGAACTTTTTGCCTTATCTAGCTTTGAGAAACTGCCTGAATTCCTTGGCTTGTGGCTCCTCTAACCGTCAGAGAGCAACACTGTATCTTGACCTTTTATAGCCACATTTCCTACAAGAAAGAGTCCCCCCTTTTAAGGACCTGTCTGATGACACCGAGCCCACCCAGATGATCCAGGATAGTCCCCAGATCGAGGTCCTAAATCACATCTGCAAATTCTTTATGTAGGGTAACATGTTCACCAGTTCCAAGGCATGGGCTGTGACCATCTTTGGGGGACCCTTGTATACTGGCACAAGCTCTTAATCCTAGTACTCAGGAGGTGGAGGCAGAAGGGTACATCGTTCAAAGCCAGCCTGAGCTACATTAGAACCTGCCTCAAAAAAACAAAAGGGAGCCGGGTGTGGTTGAGCACAGGCCTTTAATCCAGCCCTTGGGAAGCAGAGACAGGCTGATCTCTGTGAGTTTGAGGCCAGCCTGGTCTATGTAAAGAAGAAGAAAAGACCAAAGGGGGAAAACATATCACACCTAGAAGTGGAACAACTTTTTAATTCACGTCTACTTCCTTCCTGTATCATTTCTAGCTTCGTAATATTTTATTTTTGCTGTTTTTCTTTTCAAAACCCATTTCTTGTATTTAAATGAAATACATGCTGGGTGGAGCAGCACGTGCCTATAATCTGAACATTCTAGTGGCTGACATAGGCCTCTAGATCAAGAATTCAAGGCCAGCCTGAGCTACAATTAATGTGACCCTGGTGCAAAAAATAAACTGAGTGAGCTGGCTCAGGAAGGCCAAGGCAGGAAGATTGATGTTTGTTAGAGGCCAGAGTGAGCCACATAGCAAGTGTCAGATCAGCCAGAGCTACATAAACACACCTGGCTGTTCCCAACTTCTGACAGGCAACCTGTGGGACAGATCATGAGGACAGACATCATGTGGGAGTTTTGGTTTGAAGGTGTGTGCTGATTAGCAGCCTGAGTTCATCAAGTACCTGGCCTCTCTGGGTTTTTACGTTGTTTAGTGCTGACCTGATTTTGTGTTGTTAGGTCTACGAAGATTGGGAGTGCTTCAAAGTGAATGATGTTTTGGAGTTATATGGTGTTCTGTCTGTGGACCCCGTTTTGAGTACACTGAATAATGACGAAAGGTGGGTCTCTTGCTGCTTTTTTTGTTCTATTTTTACATAATTTCAGGAAAGTGGTGGATAGTTATAAAGAACTCCCTTTCCCATCTCCAGGTTTACCAGTTGCCTCCACTCATGGCCTCTGTGCTTTTGCCATTCTTGCTGTTTGCATTCTCCACCCTATCCATCCTTTGACTTTGAATAGGATAAACCAGGCTGGCCCTGAGCCTGCAGCAGTCCCCTGCCTCTGCGTCCTCAGTGCAGCACTGAGATTGATCATGTGGTTACAGTTGTGTCTCTCCTGTTAGTGGTTTTTACTTGTCATTACTGGTTTAGAGGAACGTATTTGGATGTGAACATGAAGCAGCTCAGCTTCCATTGACTCCTGTTGTGTCCTTGATGGGTCTTCATTGGATCAGTTCTCTAGTCACTCCTTTTAAATTTATTGTTCAATTTATTGAAATAGAAAGATGGATTTTTTTTTTTTTAAGGTGGTCAAATGATTCCTTTTTTTTTTTTTTTTTTTTTTGGTCTTTTGGAACTCACTCTGTAGACCAGGCTGGCCTAGAACTCACAGAGATCGGCCTATCTCCAAGTGCTGGAATTAAAGGCTTGCGCCACCACACACGGCTTAGAGTCTTATTTTATTCAATGTTAGTATGTTATCTGAAACTCACATTTTCCCAGATTGTGAATAGACTCTAGGTCCTTTTTAAGATAACCTTAACAGTTTTCAGTATTTATTTTTTGGCACATTAAGCAACTTGAACTTTGCATGCACCATCAAAAATATCACCTATTTTTTTCTTTTTTCTTTTCTTTTTTTTGGTCTTTTTGAGACAGGGACTCCCTGTAGCCCCAGCTGTCCTGGATTCACTATGGAGACCAGGCTGGCTTCGAGCTCACAGAGATCCACCTGCCTCTGCCTCCCAAGTGCTGGGATTAAAGACGTGTGCCACCATGCCCGGCCACCTATTTTTTTCTTTTTTAAAAAAAATTGTTTTATTCTATGTGTATAAGTGTTTTGCCTGCATGTATGTAAGTGTACCCATGTCATGTGATGACTGCAGAGGTCAGAAGAGGGTGCTGGATCCATTGGAACTGGAGTTATAGATGGTCGTTAACTGCCATGTGGGTGCTGGGAATCTAACCCAGATCCTCTGCAAGAGCAGCCAGTGCTCTTAACCACTGAGTCCTGTCACCTATTTTTCAAGGTACACTATTTTCTTCTGGTGAGGAATTCTATTTAAAAATCAATTATCAAGTTCTACCTGAGTTTTTTTTTTGACCCATGTAGTAGACAGAGATAGGAGATGAGAGGAGACAGAAAGACAGACACCCCACAGTGATAGTTATCTCTGACATTATAATACAATCTTTTTTTTTTGGTCTTATTGAAATAGAGTCTCTCTATAGCCCCATATAACCCCAGCTGTCCTGGAACGCACTATGTAGACCAGGCTGGCCTTGAACTCAGAGATCCACCTGCCTCTGCCTCCCAAGTGCTGGGACTACGGGCATGCACCACCGTATACTGTATATTATTATAATTGTAATACAGTATATTATTGTATACTATATATATATACAGTATTATATTATAATATATACAGTGTTACAGTATATTATAATACAATATATAATATATACAGTATACATAATATACAATATATTACATTACAATATATTATATATTATAATACAGTATATCAGCTTATGAAGAGGATAGCTGTATTTTAGCTTACAGCTTTAGAAGGTGCAGTTCACATACACTTGGCTCAATTCCATAATCTTGCCCTTCCCTGGGGACCTCCCCCCTCCTCCCCCCTAGGAGCAGCATTAAGACCAAGCTTTTAACACATAGACTTTGAGGGATACACGGGATCCAAACTATAGCTCACTTACATCTATATACACATTCATCTTAAAAAAATTTTTTTTTCTATGAAAAACTATTGAGTTTGCTGTGTATGGTGGTACACACTCCAACTCCCAGGAGACGGGAGGAACATGAGTTCCAGGCCAGCCTGGGCTACATAGCAAAACCATCTCAAAAAATAAAAAGGAGAAAGCCATTAGTTTTAGCTCCTGTCATTCTCAGTATGCCTTTATCTCAGTTCCACAGTCCATATAGAATGGAGTCTTGGAATTGGTAGCACATGCCATTATGAAAAGCAGCCTAGTAATTAAAGTTCCCTATCTGTTTGCAGTTCTAGCTGGTCTGTAGCTCACAATGTAGAGCAGGCCTCAAACTTGGGGTGCTTTTCCTGCCTCTGCCCTCTGAATGCTGAGAGTACAAGTGTGTACCATGATGCCCAGCTTCCAGTTTTTTTGTTTTTTTTTTTTGTTTTTTTTTTAAGAGTGCTATACCCCAAAGTTGTTCAAATACGCCTCCTGTTCACTGATTCCAATATTTTTTTTATTACTTTTATGTGTATGCATGTATTACCTGCATGTAGGTAAGTGCACCCATGTCATGCAATGCCCACGAGGTCAGAAGAGGCTATCGGATCCCCTGGCACTGTAGTTACAGACAGTTGTTAGCTGTCATGTGGGTGCTGGGATTCAAACCCGGGTCTTCTGCAAGAACAACCAGTGTTATTAACTGCTGAGCCATCTCTCCAGCCCCTTCTTTTTTTAATATTTTATTTGTTGTTTTAATTTTATGTGTATGAGTATTGTGCCTGTGTGTAGGTAAGTGCACCCATGTCGTGCAATGCCCACGGATGACAGAAGAGGCTGTCGGATCCCCTGGAACTAGTTACAGACAGTTGTTAGCTGCCATGTGGGTGCTGGGATTCAAACCTGGGTCTTCTGCAAGAACAGTCAGTGTTCTTAACCACTGAGCCATCATCTCTCCATCCCTGATTCCAGGATTCTTAAATTGTTAAATCACTGAAACAGATGACTAAAGCATGTAACTTTGTGATGCACAGCCTTCAGTACTCTATACACAAACTCATTTTAGAGCTTACAGTTCAATAACTTGGGATTCTCACCCCACAGTCTACCCTAATGTGAGGTTTTCACCTCTAAACCAAGAGGCCTCAGTAATCAAGTAATTAAGAAGGAAAGTTGCCGGGTTTGAGTTCAAGGCAAGGCCAGCCTGGTTTATATTCTGAGTTCCGTTCTAGACCAGCCAAGGTTATACAGTGAGACCCTATCTAAAATAAAATAAAATGTCAGAAAACACATTTTAAGTAATTTTAAATAAACTTGCTCTCTTTGTAACATTCTTTAAAATTGCTTATTCTGACTTTTTTTGTTTGCTTATTTTTTTAATATTTTAATGTTTTTAATGTTTTAAATTTATGTGTATGAGTCTATTGCCTGCATGTATGTGAATGACCTGAGGTCAGAAGAAAGTGTCAGATCCCCTGGAACTGGAGTTAACAAAGGTTGTTAGCCACCCTTGGGTGCTGGGAGCTTGGTCCTTTGCAGGAGCAGCCAGTGCTCTTAGCCACTGAGCCATCTCTCCAGCCCCTTTATTTTATTTATTTATTTATTCATTTATTCATTTATTTATTTATTTATTGTCAGAGTCTCCAGTATTTAACAAGAAAATTCTACTGCAATGGGGGTGGGGTGCCAGTCCTTTATTTTGGCAAAAGAATAGAATGAACAAAATCTGAGAAGTTCACACTTTTTTTGTTTTCTTTTTATTTTATGTGCGTGAGTGTTTTGTCTTCATTGAAGTGCACCACATGCATACAGTGCCCTCAGAGGCCAGTAGGTGACACCAGATCCCCTGGAACTGGAGTTTGAGATGGTTGCTAGCTGCCATGTGGGTGCTGGAAATCGAACTCAGGTCCTCTGCAAGAGCAGCCAGTACTCTTAACCGCTGAGCCATCTTGCTAGTGATCACATTGGTTTTACTTGCTCTCTGTACTGTAAAAGATAGCCTAGGGGGCTGGAGAGATGGCTCATCGGTTAAGAGCACTGACTGCTCTTGCAGAAGACCCAGGATTGATTCCCAGCACCCACATGGCGACTACAAACCTTCCTTAACTCCAGTTCCAGGGGAATTCAGCACCCTCTTCTGACCTCCACAGCATTGTACTGTGCATTCAAATACATGCAGGCAATACACTCATACACTTTTTTTTTAAAAAAAAAAGCATATTTGTATTCTTTTATACTTTGTCATTTATTAAGTGTTGAACTACAGATCTGTTCACACTGTTTTCATGGCTTGCCCACTCTCTGTTAGGGGAGGTAGAGGCGTCCAATAAAAGTAAAGTGTAGAGGAGACCATCAGCAAGATAGTAAGGAATGATTCTCTGTTCACTGAATACCAGATAACAATGACTTTTGAAAAAAAGATCCCAGCAGCGAGATTTGGTGGAAAGTGTTTGATGTCTCAGCTGAGAGTTCAGAGAGCACTGCCTTGAATAGCCATATGAGTGACATCCTGTATCCTGCTTACAGCAGTGATAGCTTACTGAGTTAAAGACATTGATCATATGTTGTAGAATAAATACATTCTACTGTACTGTGACCCCCCCCCCTTAGAGTAAGGGGCCACTCTCTGCCCTCTAGGGAAATGGAGAAGCTCTTAGAGTGGATTCTGAGTTGGTCTTCAGCGTGTTCATTGCTTTACACCTCTGTAATTTGGCATCTTTAAACCGGAGCCGCCTTCTCTCCACAGGGACAGCTCTGTGCTACTAGACCCCATGGAGTGCACAGACACAGAGGAGCAGAGGGTGCACAGTCCTCCTGCCTCATTAGTGCCAAGAATTCATGTAATTTTAGCCCAGAAGTTGCAGCACATCAATCCATTGTTACCCACTTGCCTTAACAAAGAAGAGAGCAGAACCTGTAAGTGTAAGTGTTGCAGCCAGTGAGCGACAGGCTCACCCTCCATGTGTTCATAGTGGGATGGAGGGAGGTCGTTACTCATCAGAATACATTTTTTCTAGTAGTATCTGTTGATTTGTCCGTTTTCTTTCTGTTACTTCTCTTCATTGAAATGAAACTTCAACAACAATGAAAAGATAAATAAGCTGTTTTGTTCGAATATTGGCATTATTTCTTTTTAAAAAAAAATTTATTATTTTATTTTATGTGTATGTGTGTATTGCCTGCATGTAGGTAAGTGCACCCGTGTTGTACAATGCCCACAGAGGTCAGAAGAGGCCATCGGATCCCCCTGAGACTGGAGTTACAGACAGTTGTTAGCTGCCATATGTGTGCTGGGATTCGAACCCGGGTCTTCTGCAAGACCAACCAGTGTTCTTAACCACTGAGCCATCTCTCCAGCCCCTTTGGCATTATTTCTTAAAATTTTTTCCGAAGTTACATTCATGTATTGGTGAGGTATGCATGTGGGGGTCAGAGGCCAATTTGCAGGAGCCACTACTCTCCTTCCATTATATGGAGCTGAGGGATTGAACTCAGGGCATCAGACTTGGCAGTAAGCACCTTTACCCTCTGAGCCATCTTCCCCACCCTGATCAATATTGACATCATTTATTATCCCTTTTTTTTTTTTTTTGGTCTTTTTGAGACACGGTCTCCCTGTAGCCCCAGCTGGCCTTGAACTCGCTATGTACCCCAGGCTGGCCTTGAACTCAGATCTGCCTGCCCCTGCCTCCTGAGTGCTGGATCAAGGTGTGCATCCCACACCGGACCTGTATTAGCCACTATTATAAGTTCATGTTCATCATCTCCAAAATCATAATGCTTTCTTCGTGGGTTTTTTGTTTGTGTTGGGATTTTTTGCAGTGAGATGCAGGTGCAGTGCTGTTGTGTGTTCACGTTCTGATTGACCCTTCCTTCTTCCTGCAGTTGTGTCAAGTTTCCTTTCTGAGTTGTCCCCAGTCAGAGCGGAACTTCTTGGGTTCCTCACTCATGCGCTCTTGGGAGATAGCCTGGCTGCTGAGTACCTTATACTGCATCTCATCTCTACAGTGTAAGTGCTGTCTTCGTCCTGGGAATTAAGGCGTGGTGGAGACCTCCTGAGGTTTTCAGTTTTAGTTCATCAGTTTCCTTGTCCAGTGGGTTTTTTGTTTGGTGTATCAAGCATTATTCCAAATATGGATTTCTTCATCACCTTTCCTCGGTGTCCCGCAAAGCATTTTGATGATACGCTCTTAATACATTTAAGCCAAGGTCAGACAAAGGACCTGACTGATGAAAAAATGAGCTGTTTCTTAACTTCTGTGTTCTTCTTTTCCCTTTGGTACAATCCAGGGTCCCATGCATGTTAGACACAGCTCTACCACTCAGCCCCAGCCCCTGTTTGCATCCTGTCCTCTTTGTACACCTCTGGATACTCTGCTTCTGAGAACAGCAGGCATGTGCATTGGCATTAGCACCTTGGCCTCACTCCGCTGTATTTGTTTTTTTGGCTACAAAAGTAATGTCTTCAACAACACGAGGGAAGTTGTCTTGTAATCGCATCCCAAGAGACTGTCTCTTAATTTTTGTTACCTGTTCATGCTCTTTTATATGTATTTATATTTGTATCTTGTGTGTACTGATGTAGATATCAATTGTCTTCTAAGCACAAATCCATATCTTGCTTTTCACAATTTATGAATTAAACTTTCCCATCATAAGTCTTCAAGAACTTCTAATGGCCGTACACTATTCCATTATCAAATCGTGCCACACTGGAACCATTTCCCAAGATGTTAGTTAGGTCTTTGCACTTCTGCATGATGAATACACTGCAGTTCCCAGTCTTCCCTTTCCTCAGGGATCTGAGACAGTACAGACTGCCCAAAAGCAGACTTTGGAGCCGGACTCTAGAGTCATATCATTGCTCTGTCACTTCTGACTAGTCTCTAATCTGAAAGCCTAAAATTTGGGGGAAGTCAGAACCGCCTGAACACAGGCATGCTTCTCAGGTCGGGGTGTGAAGCATTGGCTACCAGCTCGCGTTAAGGGTTCAGACAGGTCGATACGATCTTCCAAAGTCTGAAGTACTCTGGTCTCCACTTATGCCTCAGAGGGATTATTTTGGTTTTGGTTTTGTTTGGGTTTTGAGGGTTTTCCTGTAGCCCCAAACTGGCCTGGAACTCACTATGTAACCCAGGGTGGCCTTAATCTCACAGAGATCAACCTGCCTCTGCCCCCTAAGTGCTGGTGTTAAAGGCATAAACCACCAAGCCCAGCCTTGCCTCGAGTTCCTAATACAGTCCACTCAAAAATGTTTGGAGAGGGCTGAAAAGGTGTTTAAACATTCTTGATAGTTTTAAGTATTGGCTAGTATTTAGCTGTAGTTATTCTAATAAAATAGCCAAAGTGTTCTACATTTTTAGTGACAATATTTTCGTGTCTTTTGTTCTTTTTCCCCCTCTAGATATACGAGAAGAGATGTTCTTCCACTAGGAAAATTTACAGTTAACTTGAGTGGTTGCCCACGGAATAGCGCCTTCACAGAACACTTATATCGAATCATTCAACACCTTGTTCCAGCAGTAAGATTGTTATTAAAAGTATTGTAAATCTAAGCATTCAGCAAATCCCATTGGTTTTCCACTTGACCCAAGTCATCTGAGATCTTAATGGATCTCATTTACAGGGGACAGCCTGCCAGTTTACAAAATTTAAAATGTACTCTCCTAAACATTCATGTTGATTGCCTTAGCACAAATTTCTAAATCTAGCAATTAATGCAATTGCAGTAAGTAATTCCCTTAAAATTGTACTTTTTGTTGATGCCAATTTGTTTAATCTGGCGTCCTTTGCGTGCATTAGAATCTTAAATCTAAATAAGCTCTAAATTATATGAGTCTGGTTCTCTCAGCTGAGGTCATAAGGCTGTGCATCTCCACGCCCCTGTTTTAATTGCTGTTTGGAAAGTTAGGCTGCATTTCTTTGCCAGCCTCTGGGAAATGAGTGTGATGGGATTTGTTCTGATGCATTGTGTGACCGAAAATACTCATCACCTCTTACTTTGGGAACTCAAGAGGCAAAGCCAGATCATTCATTGGACAGCCATCCAGTGTCTGAGTGCTGGCTCTCTCAGGCCCTCTAACAGTAAAGCAGTCAAGCAGCCCTCTTCTGAGCAGTCCTGTAGACTCAGCTACCTGTTCTGTGGGTTATGCCTTCACTAATTTCCCACATTAATGATAAAACTGAAGATAATGTTGAATAATTCATTAGAAATTAGTAATAAAACTGACATTGTTTTGCATTTTTGCAAAGCTCTTTAATGTCAAATTAATAGCTTTTCTGATCTATTTCTACTTTTGTGTCTCTTGTGATGTATTGTTTTGGTTTGAAGTGTGTTTTCCTAAGTGGTTATTGAAGTTGAAGACCTGAAAACCCATCAGTGAAATTTTCATGATCTGCTATAGGTTGAAATAATGCAGTAGAGGTGCAATTTTTTATTCATAGATGTTGTAAAGGGTCTTAGCAGTTCCCTAGCCTTCTATCACTTCTACTGCAGTAGTTGGGGTTTTTGTCCTATGGAGCTTGTGTGTTTGTGATGCATGACCAACCAGGAAAGTGATTGATGATGTCTTCTTTTAAAATGTACTGAGGAACAGTGAAGGCCCTGGAGAAGGGATAGGAGGCACAAGCGGTGGACATAGGCAGAGCTGCCCGGGCATTGAGTAGGGTCCGAGACTCTGGACCTAGTGGCTGCTTGGGGCGTCATATCTCCCCACATGGACCAGACATGCAGAGGCAGTGAGGAATGGCATGCTGGTGTGTGGGAGGGATGCAGCAGAGGGGCTGATGTGGCACCAGCACTGAGACAAAGGGGTCAGAGGGAAGCTGGTTCTCAGCTGTGAGGCCAGGGGTTCTTTGCACATTCAGGACATGGGAGAGGGTGTTGGAGGAAGGTCCAGGTGACAGCCCAGGGGGTGTTTCCTTCTTACTCTGATCACTTTACTGTGCTTTGTTTACTCTCTGCTGTGACTGTGACTCCTCACGTCATTCTTGACATACCTGTCCTTTCTCTACACCTTCTGTATACCTCATACAACTTTTACTACAGTTAAGTATATGTAATCTGCCTATGCTTCTGTGGCAGAGCAAAGCTCAGCCCCTCTATAGCGTCACGTTTTGTTTTTGTTTTAAATTTATTTATTTTTATTATTATATGTGTACAGGTGTTTTGCCTGCATGTATATAAGTGCATTCATGTCACGTAATGCCCATGAAAATGAGAAGTAGGCATTGGATTCACTGGAGTTCAAGATGGTTGTTAGCCACCATGTGAGTGCTGGAAACTGAACCTGGTTCTCTTCAAGAGCAGCCAGTGTTCTTAACCACTGAGCCATCTCTCCATGTTTCTCTGCAGGCATGGAAGGGTGTAAGGCATCTTGAGCAGACAAGGGCATTGAGTGTGGTGGGGCTGGAGGCGGCAGAGGTGTATAGGGTCCCTGCTCTAATGAGAAGGAGCCTCAACAGTGAGGTCTGCAGGGGTGCGCCCACTTCAGCATGCTCTGCTCCCCATCTAAGATTTATTCAAAGTCATCTGCAGGTGGTCTGTGGTAAATGAATAGGGTTTGAATTTAGAGAGCTTTCTCTTCTTGTCTCTGGATAATATAGACATTTCGTGTTTCGTTGGCTTGTGCTGCATCAGAACTAGGCTTCTTATCTGATGAATGTAGGTCAGTTGTCTACTGTTTGTTTCAAATTGTCATAATAAAATTATTCTTCAAGATATTGAGAATAGCATATTTACTTTTGTAGCTCAGGCTGGCCTCTGTCTTTCGAGTGCTGCAATTACACACATGTGCTGCCACACCCAACTGAAGACATTCGAGAGTAAAGCCACTCTTGATATTATAATGTGGATACAGATAGCTTTGCTTCTAAGAGTTCTTTCTAACAGAAACCATGTTATACTCCCTTAGAAATTGAGATCGTTCTATGTGAAACATAAGTGTTTTACCTCTAAGTGTGTATGTGTGTGTGTGTTAGAGAAGCTTGGATCTTTGCTCATTAAAAAATTTCTCTTCTAGTCTTTTCGTCTACAGATGACTATAGAAAACATGAACCGGCTGAAATTCATTCCCCACAAAGACTATACAGCCAATCGCTTGGTGAGCGGACTCCTCCAGCTGCCTAATAATACTTCCCTGGTCATCGATGAGACCCTTCTAGAACAAGGGCAATTGGACACCCCAGGTACATCTGCAGTACTTCCTGTCTTCTAACTTGGCTCCATTTAGCTAGATCTGGAAGTGGCTTTTAAGACAGATTGACATTGAACAATTATTTTTAAGGGGCTGGAGAGATGGCTCAGCAGTTTCGAGCACTGGCTACTCTTGCAGAAAACCAGGTTCAGTTCCTAGCACTCATGTGGTAGTGGCTTACAGCCATCCTTAACTTTAGTTCCAGGGGAATCTTGACACCCTTTTCTGGCCTCTGTGGGCATTGTATGACATGGATACATTTATATACATGCAGGCAAACACTCGTGCATACAAAATAAAAGTAAATAAATTTTTAATATTTTTTAAATGCACATTTGACTAAAGCATGTATTGCAGATTGTGTACACCCCTTTGCCATGACATTTTGTTAGTTACCTACTACCTCAAAATAGATGCACAGAATAGACCTAATAACACTTTGTGCCTCCTATGTGAGCCTTGTAAACAGTTCTCAGAGAATAATATGGGGAAAAAAAATTGATAGCTCAGATGATTGAACCAGGAAAGCAGTACTGTATCCCATTGTGCTGGGGTGTCCAAGAGGTTAAAGTAGATGAAAAATAATGCAGATTGGGAAACTTCTAAGGCAAGGGAGCTTAAAATCAGGAAAATCAGGCAGAGGTGGTGGCACACGAAGGAAGCTGGGGTGAGGGGAGGGAAGAAGAACTCGCAGCAGCCTTACTTGTGTACAGAAATAGTTCACTGTCTTGTTTTAGCCAAGACTTAGGGAGTAGTGAACTCAGCGGGGTCCTGTTTGTGCCAACCAAGGGCATATCAGATACTAGGCATTAGATTTGGGAAAGTTGTAGCCTTAGAAAGTTCCAGCTGGCCTAATACTACCTGTGGAACTGTAACCTAGTGAACATTTAGTGACATTCAGCTTGATAAGTTCTCAGTGCCTTCTGTCCTTTATTTAAGTAGCAGAAACCTCATGTCTTATGATCCTTGTCAGTCAAGCTGAAGTGTTTCAAATCACATGACTGAAAAAGATGTTCTTACTTTTCCAGGTGTTCATAATGTGACCGCCCTGAGCAACCTGATAACTTGGCAAAAGGTGGATTATGACTTCAGTTACCACCAGATGGAGTTCCCTTGCAATATCAATGTGCTTATCACTTCTGAAGGGAGGTCACTCCTCCCGGTATGTTAAGTGGAGGACAGTTACCTTGAAAAGATAGCTACATTTTTGTTGTTTTGTTGATGCTGCTTTTTCACTTACTTACTTAATTTATTATTTATTTAATTAATTTATTTATTATTTATTTATTTGAGGGGGTGTGTGTGCACATATACAGGTGCATGCATTTATACGCATGTGTGTGGAGACCAGAGGTCCTCCTCCAGTGCCGATCCCCAGGAGATAGGCACATTGAAACAGCGTCTCTCACTACCTTAGACCTAACCAAGTAGACAGGGCTAACTGGCCAGCGAGCCCCAGAGATTAACCTATCTCTGTCTCCTCAACACTGGGATTACAAGCATTTGCCACCACCCATCTTTACATGGATTCTGAGGATTGAGTCCTTATGCTTACAAGGCATGCTCTTTACGGACCGAGCTCTCTCTCAGCTCAGTGATGCTTAGTATTGAGGCACATGTTCAGGAAATTGTAGATTCGCTGGGAGTGTTAGTGCAGCCTACGAGGTTGAGGTGGGAGGACTGTAAAAAAGAGCTGTGAGGGTAGCTCAGTGGTTGGTCACTTGGCTTGTGGAGGGCCCTAGTCCAACCCCCAACACTACAAAAAAGGAGATTGTGGCTGCTGCTTATTAAGTAGGGAATCGTATTTCAAGGTATTTCATTCTACCTTGAAATGAAAATTTACACCCATTGGAAACTAGCAAATCACAAGATAACCAAAGCTACTGGCAGCAGAAACTTCCACACCTAGAAATGAGAAGTAGAAGCTAACTACCCTCATTTAATGTCTATATCACTATTCTTACTTCCTTTGTCCTTTTGTTTTCTGCCAGTGGAGGTTGAGGGTGGGGGGATATGACCTCATGTAGCCCAGACTGGCCTGTGCCTGGCTTCAGCTATATAGCCAATGATGATCTTGAACTCCTGATCCTCTTGCCTCCACCTCCCAGATGCTGAGATCACAGACTTGTCTGGCATCTGCCAATCTTGGGTAAGAAGTATTTTAGGCTAGAGAGACATCTTAGCAATTAAGAGCATGTTCTGCTTTAACAGAAGACCTGAGTTCATTTTCCACACTCACATCCACTGGCTCACAACCTCCTGTAACTCTAGCTCCAGGAAATCCAACACCCTCTCCTCTTCTGGCCTCTGGTACGCATGTACACAGACACACATATACATTAAAAATAAAATAAAAATAAACCTTTTTTTTTTTTTTTTTTTTCATTTTTTTGAGACAGCGTTTCCCTGTAGCCCCAGCTGTCCTGGAACTCACTATGTAGACCAGGCTGGTCTTGAACTCACAGAGATCCGCCTGCCTCTGCCTCCTGAGTGCTGGGACTAAAGGTGTCCACCACCATGCCCAGCTAAACCTCTTTTCTTTAAGGGGCTTGTTGAAGAGATGATTCAGCAGTTAAGAGCACTGGCTGCTCTGGCAGGGCACTCAGGTTCAATGCCCGGCACCTACATGATGGCTGATGGCTGTCTGTAACTTCAGATCAGGAGATCCAATACCCTTTTCTTGCCTTTGCGAGCATTGCACACACAGGCGCACTTACATACATGCAGGCAACACACAGACATAAAATAATTTTTTTTAATGATGTGTTTTAATGAATGTGTTGCCTGCATGTATGCAGGTGCACCCATGTCGTGCAGTGCCTTTGGAGGTCAGAAGAGGGCATTGAATCCCCTAGAACTGGAGTTATGGACAGTTGCTAGTTGCCATGTGGGTGCTAGTAACCAAACCCAGGTCCTGTGCAAGAGCAATCAGTGGTCTTAACCACTGAGTCGTCTTTCCAGCCCATAAATTAAAAAAAAAAATTATTATTTCTCTTTTATGTGTATGGGTGTTGGGTGTATTGCCTGCATGCGTATAAGCGAACCTATATCATGCATTGCCTGCAGAGGTGAGAAGAGGCGTTGGATCACCTGAAACTGGAGTTATGGATGGTTAGCTGTCATGTGGGTGCTGGGATTCCAACCTGTGTCCTCCTCAAGAGCAGTCATTGCTCCTAACCACTGAACCATCTCTTCAGTCCCATAATTTTTTTTTAATTTTAAAATAAATATTTTAGAATTTTTTATGAATTTAGAATTCCTTCCTCCTAATCACTTAGTAATGCACTTTATGCTTTATGGTGAAGTGTTCTGGTCTTCAGAGTGGCTGATCAAGAGCTGTTATCCCAGCTGTGTAGTTACTCAGTGTGGCAGTGTTCACCATGACCGACGCAGCCATTGACCAGGAAGCAAATGTATGGTACAGAAGTTAGTCATCTGCGCATACTTACTGATAATGCCAAGGAAATACTGCAAGTAACCGAGAAAAGACTTAACTTGGGTGATTATTACTATGGTGTATTTAAGTGTTTATAAGTTAGTATTAAAAACTGATCTCCGTTGGGATCAGTGCATGCCTCTAATCCCAGTACTCTAAAGAAAGAGGCAGGAGGCTCTCAAGTTCAAGGCCACCCTGAGCTACATAATGAGGTAGTTTTTTGATATTTTTGAAACAGGGTCTCCCTCTAGCCCCATCTGGCCTTAAAATCACTATATAGGCCAAGCTGGCCTTGATCTCACAGAGCTCTGCCTGCCTCTGCCTCCCAAGTGTTGGAACGAAAGGTATATGTCATCACTCCCAGCTTGAGTTTATCTTTTTATTTTTTTGGTCTTTTTTGAGACAGGGTCTCCCTGTAGCCTGGAACTCGCTGTGTAGAACAGGCTGGCCTTGAACTCAACAGAGATCCACCTGCCTCTGCCTCCCAAGTGCTGGGATTAAAGGCATGTGTCACCACACCAGGCTGAGTTTATTTTTTTAATGTTTAATTTTTTTACATGTATTTTGTTTTGGGGCACATGTGCCATGACTCACATGTGAAAGTCAGCGGACAACTTGCAGGAGTTTGTTCTTTCTATCCACCACGTGGGCTTTGGGGATCAAACTCAGATCATCAGATGTGGTTGCAAGTGTCCTTACCTACTGAGCCATCTTACTGGCCCCACAGTAAGTGTGAGACCTTGTCCTGAACAGAACAGAAAAAGACATTATAGTGGTTGCATGTCTTCTATAATCCGGTTAGAAAATTTGAGTACACTAAAAAAAAATTATTTATTTTTTTTGTCTTTTTGAGACGGGGTCTCCTTATAGCCCCAGCTGTCCTGGAACTCACTATGTAGATCAGGCTGGCCTCAAACTCACAAAGATCTGCCTGCCTCTGCCTCCCAAGTGCTGGGATTAAAGGCGTGCACCACCACGCCTGGTGAGTACACGATAATTTTTTTTTAAAAAGAAAAAGCTCCTCAAATAAATGGCACTTTATAAATCCCTTACGAGCAGGTAAGAAGATGCCTCACCTGCAGTGCAGGAACTTGGAAGTTCAGCACACTATTTCTCTTTCCAGGCAGACTGCCAGATCCACTTACAGCCCCAGCTGATCCCACCCAACATGGAGGAGTACATGAACAGCCTTCTCTCAGCCGTGCTGCCCTCTGTGCTGAACAAGTTCCGCATCTACCTAACCCTGCTGAGATTCCTGGATTATAGCATATCTGATGACATAACCAAGGTATGTCCTCCACAGCAAGGATTCTTCTGTGCTGAACGTCAAGATTCCCCAGTGTGCATTTACTCCAGCGGCCTGTTGGCGGTCTGCTCCTTTATTGTCTTTGTTTGAAATCGACATTCGTTTTCTCTCCCTCCCATCCATCCCTCCCCTGTTCAGCCACCTCCTTTCTGCACATGAATTGCTCTTGGTTTTCGTTTTAATTTTTTCAGTACTGGAAATCAGAACCAGTTGTTGTATGTGTCTCTGAAGCAAGCACTCTACCCCTGAGCCACATCTCCAGCCCTTATGGAGTCAGTTTTTAGTGGTTTCCTTGGGAGCTAAAATTACCATGCTAACTATAGTCTATTTAGGAGTGATAGCCAGTTTAATTACAGTAATATACAAAATTTTGTCTCTTTATAATTCAGTCTTTATTCCCTTGTTCATGCTGTTATTTCACAGATTATATCCTTACACATTGTGTGCCCACAACACATTTATAATTATCACTCTATGCAATTGTCTTTCAAACTAGAGGGAAAAGTTGTAAGCAAGAAAACAGTTTTTGTTGTTTTTCTTAGGTACTCACGGTCTTACTGTGTAGCCTAGGCTAGCCTTGAACTTGAAGTGCTACTCCTGTCTCAGTCTCCCAAGTGCTGGGACTCTTACGTAGATGCCACCACACCTGGCTTTCTACTGTTTTGTATTTACTCTAGTTGCCTTTCCCAAGCTTACTTCCTCATGAGGTTCACCTTGCTCTCTATGGCGATTGTAAATCCTAAGATAAAAATTGTAATGGCTATTAATTTTAGTGATAGTGGTATTGTTATTGTGGGAATATTAGTTGGTGGGAGATTTGCCAAACCCCAAAAACAAAATTAAGTAAGACTTAAAACCCTCGATTATTTTCTTTCTATAAGTTGCCAATGTGCTTTCCATTTCATCCTAAAGATCTCCCTGTAATGTTTCTTATAGGACATGTCTATTCATGACAGCTTCTCTTTAAGTTTTTGTATGTCTAGGGCTGTTATTTTTTTCCATTTGTTGTTCGTTTTGTGGTACTAGGGATCCAACCCAGGGCCATGAGCATGTTAAGCAAACCCTTTCTGCTGAGCTCTCACCATACCACGGTCTGCTGAGGCCTTATCATGTTCTCCTTTAGGAGGACACCTCCAAGACTCTCAGTGGATGCCTATCTGTGTGGGTTTCTTTAAGAGTTTATCCTACTGCAGTTGGCTGAGCTTTTATTGTTTGAGACAGTCTCACTATGTAGCCATGGCCAGCCTGGTACCAGGCTGGCCTTGGACTCAGAGATATACCTGTCAGCCTCTCAAGTGCTGGGATTAAAGGCATGCACCACTGTGCCCAACCCGAGTTAGCTGAGTCACTTGATATACTATGCACATTTTGATGAAGTCTTCAACAAACTTGAAGTTTGGGGCCATTGTATAAATTTCTTTTTGCTCTTCCCTCTGTGCCCACTGGCACTCTCATCAGCCTAGGTCAGTGCATCTGACGGCTAACCACAGATCTTTGAGACTCTTCATTTTTCCTTGTTTTCTTTCTGTTCCACAGACTGGGTAACTTCAGTTGATGGACATATCTTGAAATGGGCTGATTGTTGTGCCTGCTCAGGTCTGCCAGGCCTGATTTATTGTTGTTGTTGTTTCTTTTTTAACCATAATTTTGCATTTGCTCGTTTCTTCTTATTGCTCTTCTCTATATGATGAGAAACTGTTCATCTATTTTCCTTCTAATCTTTATACAGTAGCTCCCCTTACCCAAGAAGGATGACGTCCTAGATTGTCAGCAATGTGATCTCCCTTTGACAAAGCTTAATTTATATATTAGGCACAGTAACAGATAACCGTTAACAACAATAGGTGATTTTGAGGGCAGGCAGCATACACAATGTAGATAAGTTAGAGACAGAAAGTCACCTTCTAGGCAGGACAGTGAAATTTTACCATACTACCCAAAATAGCATACAATTTTAAACTTTAAGTATTTCTGGAATTTTTCATTGATATTTTTAGTCAGCAGTTGACTACAGGTAACTGAAAACCACAGAAAATAAAACTGTGGATAAGGGTAGACTACTGTCTGTAATTAACTTAATTTTTTCAAGATTTTTAAAATAGCCAATTCAGGTACTAGAGAGATGGCTCAGCAATTAAGAGCACTTGCTGTTCTTCCAGAGGACCCAGGTTCGATTCCTAGAACCAACATGGCAGCTAACAACCATATGTAACTCCAGTTCCAGGGGATCAGTGCCCTCTTCTGGCTTCTGCAGGCATCATACAACATAAGTGCACTTATATATATGCGGGCAAAATACTTATACACATAAAAAATAAACCTGTTAAAAAATAAGTTGTTTTTTTTTTTCTGGTCTTTTTGAGACAGGGCCTTCCAGGGTCTTCCAAATCCTAGCTGGCCTGGAATTCACTGGAACCAGGCTGGCCTTGAACTCACAGAGATCCGCCTGCCTCTGCCTCCCAAGTCCTGGGATTAAAGGCATGTGCCACCATGCCTGGCATAAATATTTTTAAGAAAAGAAAATAGCTAAGGCAAAGTCTTTGCATTCTGTCAGGGACAGTTCCTTTTGACACCTTCCCCCCCAAATTTGTGGGCTATTCCTCTTGCCTCTTTGTGTCCCCTAAATTTTTCATTACTAGCTAGCCAGATGTTTAAAAATAATGTGGCAACTCTGCTCTGGAAACCAGGTTGTGGGAATGAAACCTCCCACAGGTATGCTGTGGATGGCTTACTGCTTGGTTGGTTGGTGACTTTGACTCTGGTTTTGATGGTGTGGTGGTGGGGATCAAGCCCAGAGCCTTGTACACAATTAGCAAGTCCTCTACCTCTCAGCTACATCCCCATCCCTAAAATAATTTTGTGACATCTTTAATTTTTCAGGTAGATACCAAAAGCTCTGTTGGCTTTGTACTAAGTTTATGATTAGACAGAAATTTCCTCAAAAGTTCTCCAGGCCTAGGCTGAGAGACTCTGTGTACACTATCAGACAAACCTTTACCACTCAGCCATGCAGTGTACAGCTTTTTTCTTTCACTCCTGTCTGCACAGAGCCCTGAGGTTCTCGAGAGGTAGAAGCTTAAGGTCTCTACGCACATATTTGGTCTTCTGAATTCCTAAAAATAGATATACATGGTTTTCAAAGCCCTTCCGGGCTGTGAAGGTGGGAAGGCGCTGTGGATGGAGCCTCAGGCTTCACACATGCCCGGTAGTCTTACCACTGAGCTACCTCTCCAGCCCCCCTGTAGGAATCTTCCTGTTCCAATTTTCCACCTAAGCATTGGGTTAACCTGTCATTTGCTGTTACCATTATATAATGTCTCGCAGCCAAGATGATCATTTATTGCCTAAGTTTGGGGTAAATGCTAGGGGTTGCCGGGGCGGGGGGGCACACCCTTCAACTCTAAGACAGCCTAGCAGATAAATTCTCCCAAGAAACCACCAGGCAGCTCAGATAGTGGCAGTTCTCTGGGAAGGGCAGCAGCCCTGTTCTGCTGCTCCAGTGGCTGTCAGGCTGTTGGTTTTCAGGGATAATTCCGAGGTGAGGGTGTAGAATGTGGAAACAGAGTAAGTTAAAATGCCATGAATCTCACTCAACATTCTTACTAAGAGCCACTTGGTTGTCTTGCATAAATGATCTCCAAGTTCCTGTGTCGAAATTCTGATTCTGATCCTTTTTCTCTGTATGAGCATTTGTTTTCATGTACGTGTCTGTGTCACATGCACACAGGTGCCCACAAAGCCAGTAGAGGCCATCACATCCCCTGGAGCCAGAGTTACAGGTGGTTCTGAGTTACCTGGTATTTGCTAGGATCCCAGGTCTTCTGTAAGACCAATACATGCTCTTGCTGCTGAGCATCTCTCCAGCCCCATTATTACTTCAGGCAGGCCTAGAACTTGGGGTCCTCCTGCCTCCGCTTCCTGGGTGTTGGAATTAGAGGTGTACACCTCCACGCCTGTTCTTTGTACCAGCTTCACTGGGCACACTTGATACCAGGAAGGGAGGAAGCTGATGTCTCTGCTTGCTTCACCCGCTCAGGTGGATCTTAGCTTTCTTTAGTCGTATTTTTTATGGTGTTAAGTTTTGGTCTTTTTTACTTATCTTGCCTCATCTAACATCCTGTTTTTTACTTTAATCAAGGGACCGGGTTTCTTTTTCTTTACAAAAAGAACAAAATGTTTTCAAAATACTTATGGAACTTTAAAAGAATACTTTTTAAAGTACATTACATTTTTGTTTAAGGCAGTTGAAGATGATTTTGTGGAAATGCGCAAGAATGACCCTCAGAGCATCACTGCTGATGATCTCCACCAGTTGCTTGTGGTAGCTCGGTAAGTGGTGCTAGTCCACAATTTTTTCTTTCTTTTGTCTTTTTGAGACAGGGTCTCCTGTAGCCCCAGCTGGTATGGAATTTACTGTGTAGACCAAGCGGGCCTCGAACTCAGAGATCTACCTGCCTCTGCCTCCTGAGTGCTGGGATTAAAGGAATGTGCCACCATGCCCAGCTTTTTTTTTTCTTTTTTGGTCTTTTTGAGACAGGGTCTCCCTGTAGCCCCAGCTGTCCTGGAACTATGTAGACCAGGCTGGCCTTGAACTCACAGAGATCTGCCTGCCTTTGCCTCATGAGTGCTGGGACTAAAGGCATGCGCCACCACACCTGGCTTTTTTAAAAAAAAAAAAAAAACGTGTGTAGGGCCTGCATGAGATTTTGTGGACCTCATGTGTATAAGTGCAGCAGGTGCCCAAAGAGGCCAGAGGGCATAGGATCCCCTAGAGCTGGAGTTACAGGCATGACACCCAGCATAGGTGCTGGGAAGACTTGGGTCCTCTGCATGACCAGTAAGCACTCTTACCCACTGTGCCATCTCAGCTCCCATAATTGCTTTTGATGTTGGCTGTGCATAATTCTTCAGATTTATTCAGCAGTATCGGAGGCACACTTCTTTTTATTTCTGTGTGTGTGTGCCAATGTGAATTTATGGGTACCACTTCTGTACAGAGGACATTAGATCCTCTGAAACTGGAGTTCCAGGCATGAGCTGCCTGATGTGGGTACTAGAAACAGAATACAGGTTCCCTGCCTGACCAGGAAATGATCTTAACTGCTAAAGCAGATTTTCTAAAAATGGAAATGCACTTTTTTTTTTGGTCTTTTTGAGACTTTGAGACAAGTGTCTCCCTGTAGCCCCTGCTGGCCTGGAACTCACTATGTAGATCAGGCTATTCTTAAACTCGCAGAGATTCACCTGCCTCAGCCTCCCGAGTGCTGGGGCTAAAGGCGTGTGCCACCATGTCTGGCTTGGAAATGAACTTTTCAAAAACTCCTTATACGGCCCGGGAGGCAATTTAGTAAATACGCATTTCAAGCAAAAGGACTGGAGTTTGTATCCCCAGAACCCAAGTAAAAGCTGGGTGGCCATGGCAGCCTACTTGTAATTCCAGCCCCTGGAGCAAGCTGGCTAGCAAACTAGCCATTTCAGGGAGAAATCCTGCCTCAGTGACCATTGTCAACCTTGGGCCTCCAACAAGCACATGTACACCCATTTAAACATTTCAAAACCACCTTGCTTGACAAAAGGGGCTTATTGAGGGGGTTTGCATTTGGCCAGTGGTCTCAGCAGTGGGACACACTGCTTGTTCTCTAAGAGCGAGCCATTCCCAATCCTGGTTCTTCAGGTAATCCCTTGTAGAAGTTACACTTGGTTTGGATTTTGTATAGCTAGTTACCAATGTTCTTGCCTAAAAGGCCAGTGTTTTAAAAGTTTTCCTTTTTCCTAATGTTAATCATCCTAACTCTAGATCATTTGTGATTTTCAAACCAGGTTTCTGTCTCTCAGCGCCGGTCAGACCACACTGTCACGAGAGCGCTGGCTGAGGGCAAAGCAGCTGGAGTCTCTGAGAAGAAACCGGCTTCAGCAGCAGAAGTGTGTGAATGGGAATGAGCTTTAGAGGTCTGGAGGGCACGTCATAGCTGAGATACTGCAAAGTGCAAATTCATTTATATCACATTGTTTTATAGACAATTTGTATCAAAAAACCAATGACTTTTCCTCAAATCAAGCCTGGTGACACCTGAAGTTTATATGATTCTCTGTAAGGGCTTTTACCTTACTGGTTTTATGGAGATTTGGAGTTTGTTTTATAATTATATAAGTTAGTAATAATGTACAAAAACATATTTGATATTAAAGGTTTAATGATAATGTTGCTGATTATACCGTCTCCTTAGCTACAGCTAAGTCATAGGCAGCTCTGTTGAAATGCCAACTTCATTTGAAGAAAATTGTTGCAATCTCTAAGTTGAAGAACTGTGCATTTCATATTTCTGCCTTTCCAATTCATTCAGAGGGTCTGAGCATGTTCACCTTGGGGGCCCCTTGCCATTGACTTGTGTCCTAGAGTCTCATTCCTTCACATATCTGACTACAGAAACTGTTTCCACTTAACAGCTGTTCACGGCATGCAGAACTAGGCTTTTACATGGCAGCGGTCCCCAGCTTTTGGATTTCATGGACCAGTAAACCTTGCAAAATTTTAGGGGTAGGGTTGCCAATTAATTTTGCCAAGTAACCTGAAAAAAGAAAATCACTGTGTGATCGTCATTTCTCCCCCCATCCTCCCTCCCTGAAGAGTATTTTACATAAAAAATAAGTGTCTGTCAAAGTAATGGTGCCCTGTGGAAAGACTTGTCCAAACAGAAGGAAGATAGTAAACTTGAAGAGCAAAGGGAGGGGTCTTTTTCATGGTGCTGAGTATTGAACCTGGGAGAAAAAGCCTTCATTATTTTCATAATCAATGTTACGTAGCTGCTTTGATGGTTGTACTGGAGTTTGGGCTTTGAATGTTCATTTGTCATTTCTAAATGTGCTAATAAAGTAACATCATTTGCCAGTACAGTTAAGGCCCCACACAGTTGTAGGTAGATCCCCCCCCCACCAATTTGTTTTGTTATGCAAATTTTCAAATGAACTAAAACCTATTACTTACAGGTAGAAAGCAAGTTATTAACAGTATAATGGTAATTGTGGCAACAAGATTCTTTAGAAAGGCTAAAACATCATTTAAACCAGTGGTTTATATGAAGATTAGTTGGAAACATAGCAGTTAAATGATTCCTTATTTTTCCTTCCTACTAAGGAGGCTTACATTGACATTGCTATTCAAGGAAACAGGGTCAGCCTTGAAAAAACTCAAGGTATTATGCCTAATGAAAGAAAGTAAAAATTCCTAATTCAGCATTCTTTTTCCTAAACTCAAATATATTTTTATAAACTAATGTAAATAGTGTTTATTTTAGAATTCTAACTGGTTTTCATTTTTATAACTGATGGACTAGATCTTAAAAACTTTTGGAAATAAAATGCTCACTTGGATTCACAAGAAGAAAATAATTTTCTTTGTCCTAGAACAAGGTATTAAGTTATATGTCTAACTGTGCCAATGTAAACTGTAACTTACCAAAGAGAAATAATAACTTTGTTTGGTGTTACAGAAAAACTCCCTTGAAAGAGCCCTATTTTCAGTAAATAAAACTTCCCAAATTACCAATATACTGAGCCATTATTTATTACAAGCACAGGATATTGTCTCCCCAAGTCTCATCAAGAAGAGACTAGAACCCTCAGCCTTTTGAGGTACTTTCCCCTTGCCTTTGGACTTGGATGTTGACGTTTGTGGCTCTAATTGTGGTACGGTGTTAATCCTTTTGAGTAATGAGGAAATAGGACATCTATATACCACTGTTTGGAAATAACCATTGCCTTAAGATAATTTTAGTTACTAGATCTCATTGTAGTTCATTGCTGTAGAACTTAAACATGCATATTTTCCCACCTGACCTTGGCTTACTTCGTGTTGTGGAACGCTTACTATTTTCAAGGCCCTGAAGAAAAAGTTGGTTAAGAGCAGAATAAAGCATTCACATTTAATGTTTGGCACTTAAAATATGGTTTGAGATCCATTTCATTTAAAAACATAACAATGCAGTAAAATGATTGGAAGAGCCTAAAGTTTGAGTCTATATCAAACTTACCATTTATGGATGCTTTGAAAATAAAACCCTTAAGTATTTTTCAAGGAATTTTCATACACATTGATGCTTTTAATTACAGTGGTACTTTAATAGACACGAGACTTGACACTAATAAATAACAAAAGCAGAATGCCATCAAAGTTACAACAGACATAATGTTTAGCTGAGAATCACTTTACCAGAGTAAGGCTCTAAAGATACTAGAGATGGAATGTGCTGTGCAGTTTTCATACTGTGTGAGTTGCAGAGGAGGCTGGGCTCTTTGTGGCCAACTTATTACCACTAAACCAGTTTTAGCACACCTGTACCTCAGGGTAAATTTTCAGTAGTTCTTAAACCTACAGGAGATGCTGAATGTCCCCCTGGAAAGAGTTAAAACTTGACTTCCTTCTAGAAATTCTTAAAGTCAATATGTGCACATTCTTAGGTTCCTGCATCAGGTTTACTTTATGGCAGACAAGCCAGTGCCCCTACATTTGGAGAGAATATTGGTGACAGAATATTTGTAAAAGAATGTAAGGAAAATTAGGATCAAGTGAGGATACATTTTTTTCTGCCAGTGTTCTCAATTAACTTCATAGGGAATGGCTAAGCCATCAAAACTTTTTTAATTTAGATACTTCACATTTTAAAGTCACTAAAAACTAAGGCAATACACAGAATAAACTGACAGAATGGAAAAGTGCTAATTCCTTAATGGGTCTATCATCTACTTCACAGACCATCTTCCTCCCAAATACCAACCAGATCAGTCTCTCCCAGAGAGCTTTCCCGAGCTGACTGAGCCCAGCACTTGGGCACAGGTGGCACTTAGCCCCAGCCCAGCACGATGCACTTGCAGTCTTGGCTCTCATATCTCACGTGCTCAAGTTCAGATTCCTCGTAAAACAGTTCCAGTGAACATAATTAGAATTTGTGATGCCTAAATTCAGTACAGTTAAAATAGCCTGGTAGGTAAGAACTCCTTTTTGAATATTTAAATAAAAGCCACAGAATTCTTTGTGGCTAAAGTTTAAATCTGAATTATTCGTGTCTGGCATTGTGTGAACATGTTTTTAAGTTCATTTTGCTGGATTTCATTAACCACTTCAGGTTCTGGACTCTTCTGGACTTTAGCCACTGCTATGTTTATCCCGTGGGTTAAGCCTGCTTGGGTAATACTAGCAACCTGGACCATGGAGCTACGGATCTTTGCAAAGGGAGAGACTGCTCTGCTGCTACTATCAGGAGAAGGAGTCACACGAAGGCCTGGCTCAATGGACCCAGAGCTGGGGGTCTTCTGAGCTACCACTGCATGCATGGGTTCAACTGACAGAAACTGGGGGCCTGTCATAGAACAAGAGACGTCTAACTGAGATGGTCGAGAAGGCATGTGTTCCACTGGTTCTGATTGGGTTTCATCATTAGAAACTTGATTAGTCTTTTGATTTCCTTCCTTACTAGTCTGAGACACAGACCTGCTCTCTGACAACTCAGTTATTTTGTTCTGTGCATCCTGCACAAATCTGTGGCAGTAGACATCCATCGGTTTGGCAAAGCCCGTCAATATGCGTATATTGTCAGCAGAAGGACTTTTCTTCATGGGAGACTCCTGGCCTTTCCCAAGCCCACTTCCATGACCAGCAGTAATCTCTGAGGGAGCAGGAACGCTAACATCGGTGCTGCTAATAGACTGGGACCGGCTGCCTAACCGAGGTGCTGAAGCAACAATACCACAGCTGGGAAGAACATAATCTATTGGCCCTACACTCTCTAAAGAAGCAGCTAGCTGCCGATCTTCCTCCAACTTGGAATTCGTGAGGAACTCATCAGAGTGGTATGAATCATTATCTGAAGACATGTCCCCATCAGATTCCGGGGCCTTAACTGTCACTCCTGAGTTTTCCATAGTCTCAAGACTACTATCAGATTTCCAAAGGTTGACTTTTAAGTTTGGTTTTAGAAAGTTAACTTTCATGTCAGGTTTTGTAAAATTTCCTATTTTTCGTAAATTGCCAATATTTACATTGGATTTGGTTTGCTTCACTTTTTGATTTAGGGATGAAAATTTACTCATTAAAAAATTTTTCCCCTGCGCCAGAGAGCCTTGGTTTTGAGACCTAATACCAATGATGTCTTCGTGAGGTTTACTGCTTTTCCTATAAGTTAAAAGAAGAAAAAAAGAGTTAATTTCCCATGGAATCTGAAACACAATTCAATTAATGTAAGTGAAAATGCTTTGCCAGTTTAGCCCCAGTTTCCTGCACATTGCTAACTAAAAGCTAAATCCAAATAACTTGAAATTGATACTAAACACCACAATTAATAGAAATATTAGTTATAAATGTAATTTAAAACTTTCAAACAACCACATTAAAACAATTAGCATATAATACAATATAAAAAGGTGATTCACGCATTGTTCTTTTTTGGTACCAGGTCTTTAAAATGGTCAGTGTGCAGAAGTGTAATTATGGCACACCTGAACTGCAGCTAGTCACACTCGGGCTATAACCCACGTGGCATTCGGCTACCATTCTGAGAAATCCAAGTCTAACACACCCTCACTACCACTGATGCAAGTCTAAAGGTCCAGCAAAGTCCTCGCTAGCAATAGGTAAGAGCCTGTGGGAACTTCAAGCTCTGACACATGCCAGCTCAGCTGAACAAGAGTGGAGAGAAGAAGTGGGAGGTGGTCCCCCTTCTATTTGTTTCCTGTGAACTGAGTTTATTTTTTTTTTTAATTTGGGGGCTATGCGTGGTAGCATACCCCTAGTTAACCCCAGCAGTCAGACAGATCTGTGAGGCAGAGGCCAGCTGGGGCTACGGGAGACCCAAACAAAAGCACGTTTTCTCCTTTGTCACTCCTCATGACAGCTACAAGTCCAGGTATGTCTGCCACAAGTGTATACACATCTGTATTCTGGTCATACAGGGTCACTAGTCACAAGAACACTGCAGAGAAAAATAAGAGGGTGAAGAGCTACTTAAACAACTAAAGACTAAATAGTTTCTGCTAGAGGACCAAACAGTTCCTCTCTCCTACCCTAGTGGTACATGGACCACAAAGCTTGATCAGTGGCTCATTGAAAGGAAAAACCCACACACAGTGAATGTAAAATAGCCTGTTCATAGGCATTATTTTTCCAAATTAAGAACTTAATGTTTAAACTGTGCTATTTCCTCTGTACAGCACTTGGATCTGAATGTGCCCTCTGATCAGTTTAGGAGCTATAAAGCATCACTCGTGGCCAAACATGAACAGATGCAGTGCTTTCTCCCAGGTTGTGAGCTGTATTTCATACAACTCTTTACACTACTTAGCTAAGTACTCGTAGAGAGGGCCAGTATTTCTGTATAATAAATACCTCCAGATGGATATAAGTGTCCATCTATGTCACATAGGTGTCACATCACTCAAGAAAAAAAAAACCTTGGTCTTTGCAGTTAGTTGTAAGGTCACTATTGAGAGCCAGACAAGTAGTCATCCTTCAACCTGCATCCTCAAGACCCTCTTCTAAACAATTCACCCTAATGTGAAAACTGGCAGAAACCATCATTTTATCAATTGGGTTTAAAAGCTGTGTGCCACGTGTAGTCTAAGTGCATTACCATTCAATCCATGTGTAACTACTCTGATATTTCATAATTTCATCTTGCAGATAACAGAACCGAAGGGCTGATTAAATGCCTTCCCCAGGGTTGGAGAGCAATCAACAAAGTTGCTGATCTCAGCTGTATGGTGTCACACATCTATAATCCCTGCCCACTGAGGCAAGAAGATAGAGAGTTCTGAAGCCAACCCTGGCTATTGGTGAGTTCTTGTCTCAAAGAAAAGCTGGGCATGATAACACATGCCTTTAATCCTAGCACTCAGGGAGACAGAGGCAGGCACATCTCTGTGAATTCCAGTCAGCCAGGAGTGAGATCTGTCTACATAGACCCTGTGTCTCAAAAAAAAAGGGGGGGGAGGGGGGTTCTAAATTTTAGCTCACTGGTAGAATGCTTGGGGGCCCTGGGTTCCATTCCCAGCCCAACTTGCATTGGATCTGGTGGCAAATGTCTGGAAACCCAGCACTCTTTGTCATTTTTTCAAGTTGACATGCAATAATTTGGTGTCTTTTTAGGTACTACGTGATTTATCAATGCATTTATGCAATGTGCAATGAAGGTTTTTTGGATTCAAGACAGGGTCTCAACCCAGTCTAGTCTGGAATTTCTGATGCCCCGTCTCTACCTCCTGGAAGTTAGGGTTACTGTCTGCTCTGTTGCACTTGCTCTGGATAATGAGGGTCTCATTCTTGGTACTCACCTCTCGAGTTTTTTCTCAATTATTGGAACATCCTGTCCCATGGCTTGCTTGGTGATCTGCAGCATCTCTGCAATGCACTGAAGAGTATCTGAAACCCACATGGAACTGCTCACCAATTTTCTTCAGAAACATACTATTTAATTTGTGGCCACATATTTAAATACTAATTTATTCGCTATAATTTATAGAAAACTGTCTTGTTCACTACCCTTCACCACTGACTCAACATGTTCTAAAACAAATGTTGAGAAGAATCAAGAGCACAAGAACTAAATGAACAGTAATTAAATGTTACCTCTCACACTTGTTCAAACACTGTGTAGGCACTGGAATAACAGTCATTAACAAAAAGGAATGGTTCCTGTCTGCTGCTTCTGAGAAGCAGAAGGTAAGACAAACCCAGAGCCCACTGCACAGTCCTTGGCATGTACCACACCATCTATTCAGATGAGCTCTTTGCCCTTCTGGAAGGAATGCTATTTCAAGGTCTCTGGACCCATTCTCACCCAGGTGGCCAGCCTACGTCATGTCCCCAGTGCCATTTGGACTTGTAAAGGAAGTAACATAACTGAACACTGCCACCCTTCTCTCTTACCTTTTCCATCTTCTTCAGGGCTGCGTAGTGCAGCTCGCAGTGTGTGGAAATAACCACTTGCTTCCTTATATCTGTAGTGCAGTCTCATGCAGGAGAACTTCGGTTTGCCAAAAAGAGTGGGTTCAGGACCTAAAAACACACATCAGTATGTGTAAAGTTTTACCTCTCATATAACGCTTCCTTTAACTTCAAATACTAGCACATATCTAGCAACTATAACACATTTTTATCCATGATCTAAACAAGAGCAAGATAGAAGCTTATGTCCCTTTCGGCATGTTTTCCTTAGCATGTCCTATTACAGGTCTTGTTAAGGTCCTTTCACACATGTACATAATTTCTATCATAGTCCACCTGTATAATGGACATTTTACTTCATGAGGTCATAAGAACTCTTCAGTCTTTAACTTTTGCCTTCATGAAGCAAAAAAAGAAAATGAAAGCAACCATATCCATCACTAATCTCTAAAGAATTAGAAAGGAAGTCTGAAGTCAGACTGCTTGGAATATCCTCTTCCCGTTTCTAAGTAGACATTATATCAGTTGTTAACATAATTTGACCTATACTTCTATGAGTTAATTTGTTAAAATTTACCTATTTCTATTTTTTCTAGGTCTTCTAGACTCAGTCGTTGATACTGGTTTACTTTATCAACTTCATCATCATAACTAGGGAAAGGGAATAAAAAGATGATTAAACATTAAGGTTTATTTGGTGGTCAGTTGAGATACAATGTAACTACCTCATACAGTTAAAAAAATCTTCCCCAGTACATTCTAGAATGAAGTGATAAACATCGGAAATATTTATAAAACTAGATTAAATAACAGTAACACATATAGTTTAACAACTGATGAAAATTAGCTTATATATTTCATTAAGAAAGGATATCAATTATGAGGCAAAAAATTTCTGTTTTATGAAAACCTAAAACAATTAAAATGAAAGCAACACGTGTACACATTGAAATGCCTTAGTTAAGGGATAATGCAGGAGATCGCTCTGATAGCCAAAATCAAGGAAGAAAACAGTCATCTATGCCCATAAGGCATTTGAGGTAACAAAAAAATGGCAGCTCAAAGCAAGCAAATAGAATTATCTTTTGGGGAACGGTAACCTGGCAGAGCATGTGGTAACAAGCATCTGCCTGGTGGTGGCACTGTTTATCCTCTTTTTGAAGACCGGTCTGACAGACCACTAACATCACATAATTGATCAAATCCTTGTAACCAAGGAGACGCTGATGTGCACTCACACAAGCCGTGTTTTATACAGCACAATGGTGAAAAGCTGGAGGGAATTCAGTGCCTTATGCTGGGGAAACAGATGCAGTACACACATGATATATGGCCACTAATGATAAAAATACCTGCAGTGCGTCAAGACCTGAGAGCTATACAAGTGATAAGGCTGAGCTAAAAACAGGATTACGTAAGCATAGTGACTGTTTATTAAGAATTTCCAAGAGCATATCTGCTTAAAAAACAAAGCTTTAAGTGAATATGCAACTTACTAGGCCACGTAGTAGGCAGAGTTAGAAAGCAGCAACAGCACATCGACATCTCTGTGAGTGGCATCAATGAGGCTAAACGACATGACAAAGGGGTTAGAGATTTTCATATTCACCCGAATTTTTTTTGCCACGCATATTTCTAAAATAGTCATTTATGACAAAAAATTGGTCAGGGAACAGACGAAAATAATGTGAAATAATGAATTCTACTTCTGAAATTCAATGTTATACAATTTATCCATTTGGAAAAGCTTAACATCCCCTCCCACCCCCACCCTTTGCAAAAAAAAAAAAAAAAAAAATCAAGATTCAGGGATTTAGGAAATAAGGGGAATAGAAGAAAGGGCCAAAGCTGAAGGGAGGCCTGTTGTCCTCTGAGACAGAAGAAGCATCCAGGGGTCGGGGGTGGGGTGGGGTTGATGAAGGAATTAGGGTAATTTGGAGCGGGAAATGGGAGGATGGTAGAAAAGCACTTGGTGGGAAGAAAAGAATTCATGACACCCAGAAGCCATATTTTACCTCAGGATAACACACTACACATTAGGATAGTTTTATAATCAAGGAAAATGCCTATTTTGCAAGTTTTACATAAACGTAACACTTATGTGTGAAAATGGAGGAAGCTCAAACTGCTCCATTTTTCTCACTATAGATGTTATTTGGCTTTCAGGGAACAAGTAAACACCTTAGGGCCATTTTTTTCATATTTATCCACTCTGACATAAAATATCAAAAGATTAGAAATCAGCTGAGTATTGATGAACCATTAAAGTCAAAACTAAATGCACATCCTTGAAATTTTACTGATAAGGAAATGGTTAAAGTATAAAATTACAAACAATCAACAAACATGCATAATCTGAACCCAAAGTAAACTTTGAACATAATGCTAATCCAACGTGAACAGCCTTTCCATCCAAGCCACATTCTGACTTCTGATCTCTAGATTCCATGGTGAGACATTTCCTGTCATAGGATTTCAAACCCGTCTGCTAGGTCTGATCAAAATACAAGCAGGAAAACAATGAAAAGATTCATTTGTAGATAGAACTACTGAATCTGCGCATGGATGAGGTCACTGCTGCAGAGAAAGATGGATTTACGGGAACCTTCAGTGCAGTGTTCTCATCAGCTCAGCAGCACCTTGCTGCAGTCTGACTCCAACAATCTTCATTTAAAATAGTTTAATCAGTTTTCCTTTAATACACTGACAACAATGGATGAGACATGAAAGCATCTAAGACACAGACTGCTTCTAAGAGCAGACATTTGAACAAGAGAAAACCATAAATGTAATGATCCTGGCAGCGTCGCATAAAAACACAGCAAAGGGGACAACGTCGTGCACTGGTACTTACTGCATTCTGAAAGCTGCTGCTTGAGCCGCGCCATAAAAATTACACCACGACACAATGCTAATACGAAACAAATTCTACTACTAATTACAGCGTCACTACTATCCTGTCTTTTCTTGCGTTAGTATTTACATCCATCAAACACATGAGCCTCAATCAAAAACATTATGTCTCTAAACTAAAAGCATTTGGCACTGAACAGGCGGTCGAAAAATGTCGGCCTTTCCCCCCCTCCCACATTTTTACTGAAGTCTTAGCTTCAGTAAATTCCCCGTCCCCCCCCCATTAAAAAAACAAATTCACATTTGATACGAACAAGAAAAGAAGACCCCTTTAGGTACCCCTCCCACCCCCAGGCTTGCAGCTCTGTGCTGCAGCTCTAATCATTTTTGTTTTCCCGCCACTGAGGCAAACCCTCCTTCCACACAATGAAAACAAAAATTGCCAGAACCACATGCAGCCCGACCACAGAGACGATGGTCGCGTAAAAAGCACTGTCTTCTGGAGACATGAGCATCAGGCTCTGGAAAAGCAGCAGCTTGCAGGAAAAATACAGCCCCACAGGTACTTTCACCATAAGTCCTGCAAAAAGGAGGAAAATCTTAAAAGTCATGGACAGCACGCCGTCGGACTTGGGCTCCGCGGCATTGGCCGCAGGCGCGCGCTGCGCCGGGGGAGAAGGCCGGTGAGAGCGCGGCATCCTGGCTTCAGGACCTGGACCTCGGCTTCTGCACTCAACCTCCTGCTTGCAGAGAATGGAATGGCAACTGCGCAGCAATGCGCCAAGTCACACCCGGGGGACCGCCCACTTCCACTGCGGCTGGCCACCATTACGCATGCGCACTACATCCTGCGCAGTGTGCCGCACTGTACGCGTGCGCATTGCATCCTCCGCATCCCGCACCCTACACACAGGACACAGACCGCAGAAGTGGGGGATGGGAGGATGACTTCCGGCCTCGCGCTTTGTCACACACCGGAGGGGCAGTGGTTACCACAGTTGTGCCCCCCCCCAAAACCCTGGCAGAAAGGGACAGCTGACCTGGGGTGTGGAGCACGACTGAAGGACAGCCGGCCAGCAACCGCTCTGGAGGGGCTGGAAGACTGTACTTCCCGACCACTGAAGTCTGCGATTGTCCTGCGGCAAAGGGGGGCTGGGGAATGACAGAAAAGACACAAAGGCCAGGGAAGGCTGCTTCCCAGACGTGCGGGGGATCGTCTGCACGGTGGACTGAGCCTGTTCTATGTCTGCACAGGACCCGCGCACCGAGCCAGACGTGATGCCCAGACCGCTCAGGCACCGCCACGCTGGACAGTTCCTGATGTCGCGTGCAGCAGGTTCCGGCCATCCTGTGTGCAGGGCTTTTCTAAACTGCTTTCCAGAACTACGCCACTGGTACTGCAGTGAAGTAGGGGAGGTGCGGTTTCTGGTGCAGAATTTAAGGCGGTGCCAAGACAGTCTTCAGGGCAATGTATTAGTGCAGTATTTGAAAAATTAAAATTACTGCAAAAGCATAAGGAACAAAACATCAAATATTTACGTAAAGACAATCCAATCCTGCCTTTTTCACCTGACACTAATGCTTACAAGGCAAGGATAAAAACAGACAAAGCGAGCAACATGGCTCAGCGGTCCTTGCCATGCAATTGCGGTGACCTGAGTTCCTTCCCTGGAACCAACAAAAAGGTGGAAGCACTGGAGGGAGTGGTGTGCAGAGATAGGCAGATAGGCAAATCTCTGTGAGTTTGAGGCCAGCCTGGTCTACATAGTGAGTTCCAGGTCAGCCAGGGCTGCACAATGAGACCCTGTCTCAAAAAAAGGTAAATGATCCAACTAAAAATAGGCAAATGATTTGAACAGACATTATTCAAATAAGATGTGGAAAGGAGATGAGAGACATGGATCCGTGAATGGACCCCCTTGTCACCAAAGCCTGACAGCCTGAGTTCCAGACCCACATGGTAAGAGAACTGATGCCCACAAGCTGTCTTTTGACCTCTGTGCTAGGTTAGGAGGAGCACATAAGTAAATAAATATCTTTTAAAAGATGTGGAAAGAGCTAAGTGCTACGAGAAAGGTTCCACAGTTTGTCATTAACGAAATGCACATCAACCACATATATTTCACACATACTAAGATGAAAACATCTTTAAGAAACAGGAAAGAGCCGAGCATGGTGGTGCACACCTTTAATCCCAGCACTCAGAAGGCAGAGGCAGACAGATCTCTCTGAGATCAAGGCCAACCCAGTCTACATAGCAAGTTCCAGGCCAGCTGTGGCTGTCTCAAAAATAACCAACTAATAAGGTATAAAGTGAGCTGGTAGAATGACTCAGCAGGTTCCTGACACTAATGCTCACGATTCAAGTTCAGTGACACATACTGAAAGGAGAAAATCAACTCCCCAAGTTGTCCTTTGCCTTCCACGTGCATACTCTGGTGCATGTTATCTTAGAAGTAATTCCATGCAGGAATGGATGGATGAGGCAGGCAGGCAGGCATGTGGAGAAAAGAAAACATAGCCCAAGAACAAGTCTCCAGACATCTTTCACCAAGAGAAAGGGAAAGTTTTACACAGAGGAAAATCTAAGAAAAGCCTTACAGATGAAAGAAAAATACCAGCAGCAAAATTTTAAAATTACAGCATTATGACATCCACCAGGCAGATCAGAGAAGTATTACTAAGAAGGGAAGTGTAAAGACTTGTCTAATCAAGACAGAGACAACTTGGAACACTCAAATAGGCATCTCTGTCAGGGAGTAATGGAACTGAGAGGAAAATGCAGTAACATGAGCAAGTAATGGTTCTATATCTGAAAATGTGCCACCTCAGGAAGAACAGGCAGAGGAGAACACTGCAAACCTCTCTGCGACACCGATGGTGCCTGCTCCACATACCCCACCTCCTCTTAAGTCCATGCCCAGACCTAAACCCTAAACCTCCTGGGCCTTCGTAGAGGCTCTTGAGGGATAAGGCGCAGGGTGATTAAATGCCCCCTATTAAAAATAAACAAGGCTGGGGTTATGTTCAGTTGGCAGAGTGCTTGCCTAGTATGCACAAAGCCCTGGGTTCAATCCTCAGTACCATATAAACTGGGCTTCATGGTAAGGTACACACCTATAATCCCAGAACCTAGGAAACAGTAGATCAGAAATTCAGAGTCGTCTTTAGCTACAAAATGAGTTTGAGGCCAGTGTGGGATTCATAAGACTATCTCAAATAAAAGACAATATGAAGACTCCTTCCCAAACCAATAGACAAAACGTGACCTTAAGGAGCTAGTGGCTCCAAAGCCTCGGCTCCACCATGTCCTCCATCAGTCTCGAATGCCAAAGCTTCAAAGGAGTTGAAGTTTTTGCAGTTTCTAGCGAAAACAGTAACAGTGGGAAATACAGAAGAAAAGAAAAAAAGTTGGCAAATGACCAAACACCTCAACCACTTGTGAGATGCAGCCGGTCTAACAGCATGGAGAAGGCCCTTCTGGGATTGAGTAGAGCGTGCCAGGCATTGGCAGCCATGCCTGTCACACAGAGCAGACCACACATTCCCAATGCCGGAAGCTCCATGAGCCTGTTCCACAGCCAGCTCTTGAAAGTCAACACATCATTCTTACACATCCCCTGGCTGCCCTGGGTAACAATGGGGCTCTCTGCTGTGTCTCTGCCTTAGACCGGAGGCAGCTTCAAACTCATGCACTCTTCCTGCCTTAGCCTCCCAAGTGCTGCAATTACAAGCAGGAGCCACCATTCCATGCTTGGATTTTTTAAAATGTTCTATTCAAACATTTCTTTTCAATACTGACATCTTCCCCTCAACTTGTACCAAATGCAAGGGTGCCTTAGCCTGCCTTAGAAGTCGGCCCTGCACTGAAAATTGCCATGCATGATGGAAACACTTTATGGACAACTCCTAGAATTGATGATGACAACATATCAACATCAGACAATTAAGTAGGTTAAGTCTAGGCCAGCCCTTCAGCTTACCTGGGGTCACAGTCAATGAGGGCCCAGCCCCCATGGAACTTCTCCTCATCAGGCAGCAGTAACTTCATGTAGCTCTGTAAGAGCTGGCTGATGAGCTCCTGGTGGCTTCTCTGGTTTTCCCTATGCAAAGCTTCATGCTCTTTCTCCTTGGTAAAGATGGAATAAAGATCTTCTGTAACTGGAACACCCTGCATCAAATCTAGGGGAGAAGTGTTAATATCCATCATCTCAGTTTTACTTCTTTAAAAAAAACAGAATCTAAGACCCAAACGGACAGAACTCATAACAGAAAACATAAATCTCTGCAACCCTGGACTAGGCTCAATTTTTTTTATTTTTTTTTTTATTTTTTAGATTTTATACCAAAAGCATAAGCAACGAAAGCAAAAAACAAATGAATGTCATCTAAATGCCAAACCTTTCTGTTTCTGGAAACAATTCAGAGGTGAGGAGACTCAGCCTTCCCTGGCTTTGTGCATGTCCTCCCTGGGGCCGGGGTGATGCAGGCCATGGTGCTGGTGAACTCCTAGGCATCTTTATCATCAATCACTTCCTACCATGTATTCTGTGCAGCACTGTGCACCTTTCCCACACTCTGCCTTCATTCCCCACTCCCCATGAGTATCTCAGCAGTATTGTGAGAATGAACCTTTCAAGATGGACCTCATTTTAGATGCAAATATTAGATTTACTCTGTAGATTTGGGCCACAAGCTCCAATTGGTCATAGTCATATGTGATAGGAAGATGCACCTTGGACGATAGTGAATATAACCCTGTAAGGGACAGGCTTTCCAGGACTTACCAGTTTAAATATATACTCTATGGGAAGTGTGTGAGTAGAATATATACTGAGGAATGAAAATTCGACTGAAGCAGCAACATGCCCCTCTGTTTACACATGCTATGAGGGCCTGCACATGAGGCTGTGGTTTGTTGAGACCAACAACTGCATGGATCTGGTACAGATTCCACAGTTTATCTGCTGATGAAGAAACTGGTTGAGACTCGTGAGAGGCCAGCTTGCTGCCTGGTAACTCAAGTCATAGACCTTGTCCGACACTGAGTAGAACCTGCCATTGTCACCTGATAAGCAGGGACTAGCTCTCTGCCTACCGTGAATGAATCTTTGGTTAGTCTGGATTCAGTGGAAACTGACTTGCCTGAGAAAGGTCTAATGGGGGAGCTTAAAATGAATTAGAAGTTATTTTGTGTGTATGATATTTTTAATTAAATTATATCCTTTTCAGATTAAATTTCATTTCAAAGTATGTCATCATGAAAATGAAAAGGAACCCAGAAGACAAATGAGGCTATGTGCAACTCATTTAAGGGGCTTGTATACCTCATACCTAAAGAACTCCTAACTACTCAGCAATATAAGGTTAAGCCAATTTAAAAAAGAGCAAAAAAATTTAATAGACAAGCTGACTTCCTCCTGATGAGTTAGTTGTACAGCCAAAGCTTCAATAAATCATCATAACTCATTCACTATGAAGATATTTTGAACAATGAGACCCAAGACAGCTTCTGGGAAAGATCTGTCAACCACTGGCCTGACAAAGGACTCAGTAAGCCCAAATTCCTATTGGCCTCTCTCCCTCAACCTTGGAAGAGACTCAGCATAAGGACCAGAATGAAGCTCATGAGATAGACAGCTGAACTGAAAGAGGGACAGAACCTAGGTCCTCCATGACACTGTCTGAATAGGCATATTAACCAATGGAAGCAAGGCGTTTTCTTTTTTCCTTGAGTATACTACTAGCATCCAATTCTCTAACAACAGCATGTACAACTCAACTGGCAAATGAATCAAACTTTTTGTTGTTGTTCTAGAGATTAAACCCAGGGCCTCACCTATGCTAGACAGGTGCTCTATAACTGAGCTACATCCCAGTATCTCCATTCTCTACCTGGCCCTTGTCTAGGCTTATTTTACATGTGCTAAAATAATCAGGTGAAAGAAATAGGATTTAAGAATATTCTCAGGGACCACAGATCAGCTATGTCCCATTTATTTCTAATCTAGAACATTCTACTTTGATTTCAATCATGTAAAATACTGCCGTAACTCCAGTCCCAGGGGATCTGACAGCCTCTTCTGACCTCCACAGGCATTGCACGACACGGGTGCACTTACCTACATGCAGGCAATACATGCATTTACAAAATAAAAATAATAAATAAAATTTTAAAAATAACATTTTCATGAAAATTAAATGAACACGCCACTGCATGAATTCTATGGCAATCCATCCACCTTCTCATTTCCTCTTCTAGAAAGTAAGAAATTGGTTGGGATAACCTGGTGCCCTGACTTCCTGTTCAACCATGCATATGGGAAAGGATGGTGTATATTTGTTTACAAGACCATATGATAAATGGCTAGTGGGAAAAGAAAGTATGTTTACATGGTTCAGCCTTGAGCAATGGAAAAATAAACAGAATGTGGTGGTTCTACATGCTGAGGTTTTAGGGAATGTTCTCCCACACTCTAGAAGGTTTTAGGGTATGCTCTCCCACACTTTAGAAGCTTCAATCCTGCTTTTCTGTTACTTGGAACAAACTGACACGTGCATGTGGAAACTGTTTCTTTTACTGCTCTAGCCAAAAACATTTGTCAAATTCCAATCTTGTGAAGATTTGAATTTGATTTACTAGGTAAGGTGCTCAATATAGAAATCCAAGTATATTACAAAACATGAGTTATGTTAATAACCACTGAGCTGGTTTTTGCAAAATATTAGTCACAGAAGAAAAATAAATCTTAAGGAAAGAGACACATGTCTGCTCCTTACCTATAACAGCTTGCCGATAAGCATCCTTAAACCGATTGAGGTAATACCTGTTTGCTGAGTTAACCCCATCTTTCATAACTCCTGCTAACTTCCTCTCTCCTGTCCTTGTGAAGTCGCCCTATCAAAGAAAAGCAATTGTGGCAATTTATTCAAATGTAAGAATGTTCTCAAAATTAATTTGGAGCTTCTAGACTAGAATTCTATAGGCTTCCAAATTATAACTTTAAAATTTCCTAAATCATTTAGTTAAAATACATTCTAGTATTTGACTCTGATTCAAGCATGCCAAATAATTAAATGTACTATTTATTCATGGCATCAAGCCTTCACAGTTAATGGCCCTTTTGGGCAAGGTCATATTTGGCATCTTGTAGAATTTCACAAGTCAAAATCAATTATATAACAAATATCAAAACAAAAAGGATTTTTCAAGGTTCAGACTTTTAAAATAGTCAAAATGAAACAACAACAACAAAAAAACGGGCGGGGGGGGGGGGGTCTGAGACAGGTTCTCATGTAGCCCAGGCTGGTCTCATTATATAACTAAGAATGACCTTGAACTCTTGATCCTCCTGCCTCCACATCACAAGTGTTAGGATTGTAGGCATGCACCACCAAGGCCATCTTTCAAACACAAAGTTTCTGATACGGGAAAATAAGGACAGTTCTCAAAGATTTATTATAATGAGATTTAACCTGTGTGCAGACATGTAGATAGTAGGAGAAAGACCAGAGTCGGTTCCTTACTGCACCTGGACAACCATCCAATGAAGGCTTAAACTTTTGTTTCTCTTGCCTTTCACAACAAAGGTATCAGAGTGAGTCCACAGAGAGGCAGTGGCTTAAAGTTCAGGCAAAGACGGTACAGTCTCTTTTCTCCCATTCCAGACCCACTATTTCTATACAAGACAATCTTAGAAACAGGCTTTGTCTTAAAACTGACAATATACGAAGAGCATGCTGCCAACAAGCCAGCCATTTTCAGGGAATACTAGCACAGCAACACACAGCTGCGACAGAAGAGAAAGCTGTGAACAAGGACGCCCAAAAAAATCTGAACTAAGAAGAGGAAAACAGCAGTTCTCTCTGAATGATGACCCAACTTCTAAAGCTTATTTTCTTCAATTATTAAACAAGTTTTTAGAGGGGCTGGAAAGATGGCTTAGCAGTTAAGAGCACTTACTACTCTTGCAGAGGACCCAGGTTTGGATCCCAGCACCCACATCAGGCAGCTCACAACTGTAACTCCAGTTCCAGGGAATGGGACACCCTCTTCTGGCCTCCATGGATATCTGCACACATGTGGTTCACATAAACTCACACAGGCATGCATACATACACTTAAATACTAAAAACAATTTAAGGTTTTTGGAACCAGCTGTGGTGGTTCACACTTGTAATCCCAGCTGAGGCAGGACGATTAGGTGTTCAAGACTACCCTGGGCTACGTACAGAGGCCTTGTCTTTAAAAACAAAACAAGTTTTTTATATTTATTACTCAGCCAAAAAGCTGGACAAACTGGTATCTGTTGAGCCCTTGAAGGTATAATTTATTTTGTTTGGCTTGGTTTTTGTGGTGCTGGGAATCAAACTCAGGGCTTTACATATTCTAGACAAGTGCTCTACCAACTGAGCTACACAGTCCCAGCTCACTGATGGTATACTTTGCCAGAAGATATATATACAAATATATGAAATATTACCTGAAAGGAAAATAAACATAAACCTAAGTTAAGCTGACTCAACTACTTCCCATTTCCCATACAGTGTGAAACCCACAAAGGGAGTTCACCAGGGACTCTATTTACATTAAAATACTATATAGGCTCTCCAAAGACTTTATATGTCAGCAAATGATCCAAATCCTTTTATCCATTAAACCCTTTAATCCCTTAACAATCTGTCTCAGTAGGCCTACTATTATTTCCAATGGGCATCTAGTGGGACAGAGCAAATAAGGGACTTGCCCAACATGCTAACATGAAGCAGGCTAAAGATTCAAACTAAGGGAAGATAAAGTATCACACGATAGCTCAAGTCCCAGTAAACATGTTCTATTTTGTTTGAATACAGTTTTCAAACGCATGCACAGCCAGGTGTGGTGGTGCATGCCTTTAACCCTCGACATCAGGAGGCAGAGGCAGGTGGATCTGTGAGTTCCAGGCCACCCTGGGCTACATAACAAGTTCCAGACCAGCCAAGGCTACACAGTAAGACCATGTCTCAAATAAATGAAATAAAATGCATTCACATAAAATTTCAGATTTCCAAAGTCCCTTGAAAAATCAAAGGTATGACAAAATGGGACCTCCTCAGGAAGATAACCAGCCTTCTCCAGAAACTGTGTGTCTTCCCCCTGGGTCCACGAAGGCCACACCCTCTGATGTTATAGTAGACCCCTTCTTTAGCCAAGCATTCTAGAAAGAAATCAATTACACAGACCTATCACCTGGACCCCACATATTTTTTTTTCTCAAAAACAAAGTTAGTTTTTAATCACAGTCTAATCAGTGTTCCAGAAATAATCCATTATGTTTGCTATAGATATTTACCTTCAGAGCTGCTGTCCCAGCATACTGTCTGCTAATGGCGTCACCATTATTGGCCCACATTATCTGGTAGATTCGATTACATTTCACAGGGAGAGGCTGCTCTGGGGGCATCACACCTAATTTTTTTAGCTAAAATGAACATATTAGGTAAATAAATTATATTTGGGAAACCATAGCATAAAACATGCACTACAGAAAAAGAAAACTAATTGACATACAAATTTAAGGTCCTTGCATAAAAGGAAGTATTTTCAAAATTACTGTTTTTTATTCTATTTATTTATTCCACATGGGTACATGTGCATATGTGTGAAGCGTGCATGCACACAAATGTCACTGAGAACATGTAGAGATCAGAGGACAATTTGTTCTCTCCTTCTACCATGTGTGTACCAGGAATCAAACTCAGGTTGTCAGCAAGTGCCTTTACCCACTGAGCCATTTCACCAGTCCTCTCAGACTTTAGTTTTAAGACAGAGTTTTGCTATATAGCCCAGGCTTCCCTCGAATTCTGGACCCTTTTGCCTCAGGCTCATGAGTACTGAGGTGACAGGTTATTTATTTTTTTAATTAAGCACTGAGCAGGATGTGGTAGTGTACACCTTTAAGTCCAGCATTTAGGAGGCAGAGGCAGGCAAATCTCTGTGAGATCAAAGCTAGCCTAGTCTTCCTAGCAAGTTCCAGGACAGCTGGAGCTACAGGAAGATGCTGTCTCAAAAACACATACAAATAAATAAAGCACTGGTAAAAGATAGCTTTATGAATTACTATAGCTAAATAAATAAAATTAAATATTTACACTGTTTTTGATAAAAAAGTGTTTTGATATACCTTTTTAAATGTATAGATTAATGCTATTATAATTTGCCTGTTTTAAATTTCCTTAAGAAGTGAAACCAAATACTAGAAAAACACAAAGAAACAATCATGAAGGATAGCAGAGCAGCAAGTACCTAGTAAATTTTAACTGCATGCTAAGATAGAGTTCAGGCTTTTTTTCATAAGTTCTCCATTTACCCATCACAACTCTACCCAACCAATATTCTTATTACCCTCATTTTAAAAATGAGGAGACCCAGGTTTGTGGAGGCTCAATACTACAGTAGGGTCAACACCTACCATGTGGCGAAGACAGGGCTTAAATTCAGAAGTCTTACTGATTAAACACTACATTAAAGGATACAGACTCATGTTCTCCGAAAATAGTCACAAAGTTCTATGAGGGGGTGGGAACAAACCAAAATCACACTAGGTATTTCCACTTTTGGAATCTAATATGGGAAGTTAGCTACCAGGTTAGAGAACTAGAATATCTACAATGCGGTACTTAGGTAACAGAGGATGGAAGGTGCTGGAAGAAGCAGATGCCATCCATAGAGCTGGGGCACCTGGGTAGGAGTTGGTTCTGTGTTGTCAAAGGAACCAATAAGCTCAGAGAGCCATCTGTTGACAGGAATGCAACAGCTATAGGGGCTTCATCCCTTTTCCATCTTCTTGCTCACTGTCTTCTTTAATCACTGAGAACCCCATCCCTACCCCATCCTGACAGAGCTGGCCAAACAGAAATGGGATGATGAGACTCCCAGCCCAACATACAGAAGAGTAGGTTGGAAGTGGAGAAGAAAATGGCAAATGACCACATTCTCCAAACAATTCTAAATTTTTATTTATTTTTATTTTATGTGTATAAGTGTTTGCCTGCATGTATGTAAGTGCACTTGTGCAAGCAATGCCCATGGAGGCCACAAGAGGGCTTCAGATCCCCTGGAACTGGAGTTACAGATGGTTGATAACCATGTGGGTGCTGGGAATTGAACCCAAGTCCTCTGTAAGAGCAGCAAGTGCTGTTAACCACTGAGCGATCTCTCCAGTCCTTCCCCCAAAGATTTCAAAACATTTGTGCTCACATTTTTAAATAAGTACTTAAGAATACGCCTCTATATTCAATTTCTAGTGAAGTAACATTTTCCAGGTTTTAATGGAACAAGGGTGTTTGCACACTAAAAATGCTTTACAAAACATCTGAAATTTGAAAAGATGTTTCACTAGTTATTTACACATGAAAAATAATTTCAAAATGAATATTTAGAATCAATGCTCCATATTACCTGCTGTTCCATAACCACTCGTGCAATGGCAGCTTGGACCACGTTGGTACGATCCAGGCAGTCCATGCAATTAACTCGAAAAATTCCTTCTTGTTTACATATCACCCCAGCTTGATCAACCCTTTTCAAAAACGGTATGGGATTATTTTATAATTGAAAAAAAAAACACTTTTAAAATGTTTCTGAGAAATACAGTTTTATAATAGCAGCAGCATTAGGTAGCAATTTCATTGGAATGCCATTATGTACCAGGCATTATCAAGTACTTTGGCAACATTCTTAATTCATACAATAATTTTCCAGTGAAGATATTGTTATTCACATTTGAGAACACAAAACTCATGGTACAGAAAGAGTGCCCTCCCCCTTAAGCCACACAACTAGAGGCAGAGTGCCCTCCCCCTTAAGCCACACAACTAGAAGCAGAGCTGCCACAACCCAGGCAGTGCTTTTCCATACAATTATAAACCAGAGTGCACTTTAAGCACCATCTTGTTCCTCTCTTTCTCACTCAAAGTAGAAATGCATTTAAACTATCTAAAATAGACTAATCTGCTTACCACCTGGTGAGGAGTCATGCAGTACGCCTTATCCCTCTCATTTCTCTGGCCACCCATGAAGTCTTAACATCTAATCAAATGTTCTCTCCTGTCCTTTAAGCCAATTTTTTCTTCCTACATCTACCTCCTGTAGTCTGAGAATCATTTTCTTTCCCATATTAGGGAATAGCAGAAAGAGAAAAATAAAATGTGGGCTACAGAGTAAGGGAAGAAGGCATGAGCGCATGTCCTTAAAGAACAGTAACCTCAGTTTACTTCATTTTGCCCAACCATCTGACACCTGTTCCCTGTTCAAAGTCAGCACTGCCTAATGATAATTGGGCAGGGGAGAACAAAACACCAAAACTGCATTCACATTGTGCTGCTATTATATTAATGCTAGTAGCACTAGACAAATAGAGATGAATTCACAGACCAAGAGTCTGTCAAAATAACCTTGAAATACCTACCAACACCACTTCATGTCCAGAATAATGTCATAAATGGCATCTGTTAGGGTTTGAACATTCTCAAACTTCATTCCTCGGCTAAGATCCATGTCAAAACAAAGAAAACAATCTTTAATATTGTAACAGAAATTTAGGAGTGTTTAGACAGGATCTCATTATAACCCAAGCTGGCCTGAACTTGATATGTAGACCAAGCTGGCATTCTCACAGAGATCTACCTGCCTCTGTCTCCTGAGTCCTGGGATTATATGCATGTACCACCACTCCCAGCGCAGAATTATTTTTAACTTATTTAACATACATGGGGATGTAGCTTAGTGGTAGAACACTTAGCGAGCATGCACAAGACCCAGGGTTCAATCCATAGTACCCTTAAAACAAATAAGCAATCTCTGTGAATTCAAAATCAGCCTGGTCTACACAGCGAGTTCCAGGCCAGCTGAGGCTACAGGGAGACCCTGTCTCAAAAAACACCAAAAAAGAAAAAAAAAAGAAAAAAAACAAACAAAAAATTCTGACTTAAGATATGAAATAGCAGTAACGATAACATTTATTTTGTGTGTGTTTGTGCATGCACATGTGCATGAGTGCAATGCGTGGAGATGGTGAAGGGGCACATGCCATGGCCACCTGTGGAGGTGGAGGACAACTACCAGGAGTTGGTTCTCTTCTTCTACCATGTAGGCCCCAGGGATCGAGTTCAAATTGTTCAGGGCTTTACCTGGCACTTTTACCAGCTGAGCCATATCCCTGGCCCCTTAAGATATGATATTTAAGGGACTGGAGAGATGGCTCAGTAGTTAAGAACATGTACTGCTCCTCCAGAAGATCAGAGTTCACTTCCCAGGTCCCACATCAGGCAACTCACAATGCCTGTAACTCCAGTTCCAAGGGGAATTCTTTGACCTTCGTAGGCACTTGCACTCACATGCACATACCCACACACAAACATGCAATTTAAAAATAAATCTTTTTTTAAGAAGATATGATATTTGGGGCTGGAGAGATGGCTCAGTGGTTAAGGGCACTGACTGCTTTTGCAGAGGACCTGGGTTCAATTCCCAGCACCCATATGGCAGCTATGAACCGTCCTTAACTCCAGTTCCAGGGGAATCTGAAGCCCTCTTCTGACCTCG